TCATTATTACGAGATACTAAGTCACAATTTGACATACTGCTGCCAAAAAGAGGGAAGGAAAAAGTAGGAGGCGTTTTTGGAAATTAGCTCCCCTAAACAAAACAAACAAAACAGCTGTTCACCAACAGCAAACCAATAGATCAATGTCAGCCTAGTCATTTATAACATTCTCTATGGGATTTTCTCAAGTCTATTACAGGTAGGTAGTATTTATCACTAGGCAGTATTTCTGAAGTCCACTACCAAAGGTCTGATTTATTTAGAGGTTTGTTTAGAGGTTTCATATCTTTAAACAAAGCTAATTTCTAATCACAATCAGAAACCGGAGGCTAATCCTCGTTAGCCGACCCTGTACTGCAGTCTGTTCTACAGCTTTCCCTGGAATAAACATGAAAAGTGGTAAACGCTGAAAACTATGGCAGCCCTAAGGTGACCTGGTCATTATTTTTAATAAGGCGTGGCCACAAATTAATATATTGAGACCACAAGTTAAAATATTAAGGCCACATTTTACTATACTGAGGACTATATTGAGACCACAAGTTTCGATATTGAATACATAAATTACTATACTGAGGCCACAAGTTACTATACTGAGGCCACATTTTACTGTATTGAGGCCACGAATTTCTATGTTGATGACACATTTTACTATACTGAGGACACCTCTTACTATACTGAGGCCACAAGTTACTATATTGAGGCCACAAGTTACGATACTGAATACATAAATTACTATACTGAGGCCACAAATTTCTATATTGAGGCCACATTTTACTATATTGAGACCACAACTTACAATAGTGAGTACATAAATTACTATACTGAGGCCACAAGTTACTATATTGAGGCCACAAGTTACAATACTGAATACATAAATTACTATACTGAGGCCACAAATTTCTATATTGAGGCCAGATTTTACTATATTGAGGCCATGAGTTACTATATTGAGACCACAACATAAAATATTGACATCAAGTACATAAATTACTATACTGAGGCCACAATTTACTATATTGACGGCCAATAGTCACTATATAGCGGCCATAAGTTACTATACTGAGGACACATTTTACTATTATTGTTATTGAGGCCATGAGTTACTATATTGAGACCACAACTTACGATACCGAATACATTAATTACTATATTGATGCCACAAATTACTATATTAAGGGCACAAATTAATATATTTAGACCACGAGTTACGAGAAACTTAACTCGTGGCCTTAATATAATTCGTGGCCTCAATATGTTAAATTTTGTGCCACGCCTCAGTAAAAATAATGACCACGTCACGTGAGGGGATCAGTAAAAAAACAGAAGGCAGCAGCTGGACTGTCGAGTTAATATTTCCAGAGTTTGTTAAAGATTAAACTACGAAACCACGTTTAACTACAGTCAACAAGTGGGTAAGAAAGACATGATGCTAGTGTTCTCTGTGCGGTCTGATCTGATCTGATCTGATCTGAGGACAAACTAAGCAGCGCTCAAATCTCAGCTGCGCGTCTCGTTGTCGCGGATCCTCTGAGCTGAGCTCTGCCTCAACACTGGAAACCTGAGTTTGCCTCTGAATTTGGATCGCAAATATTGCCAAAAAGGGGAAGCAGAGCAGCCCTGAGCCCTGAGAGCCACGCTGCTCCAGCCTGGTCGTTTCCCAGAGCAGAGCAGAGCAGAAAAAAACAAAATATAAAAATAAAATATATAAAAATAATATGGACCTCTTTAAGGCGTCTGCGCTTACCTGGGTATCAGAAAAAGATCAGAGGAGCTTCCACAGACTGATCTTCACTGTTGCCACAGATCACATGGGCCGAAACTGTTACATTATATATAAACACGCCCCCTTTACCGTCAGCACTCAGGACCACAGACAGCCAATCACAGACAGCCAATCCGGGAAAGCTTCACAGCCAAGGGGGCGTGTCTGGATGGTATCCAATGATGTAATGCATATCAAAATTGCACTAGAAACCTATAAATCCTCTTCTAAGACGTTTTAAATTTGAATAAATATGCTAAATTTTAATATGCAAATGTTCATATTTTCAAAATATTTTTAATAATTTTGTTATCAGTTCAGACAGCAGCGTTAACCGAGGACAATAATGCTCAGTTTTCATTCTTTGGAGACCATCTGAGTTCTCACTATGTCTACGCTGATCAGAGAGGTCACGTTAGCAGATGTAAAGGGGAACTCCACTGATATTTTTAAAATTTCTGCATAATTCGATCACTGAGACATCGAGATGTTTGATCTGATTTTCTTTCACAGGTGTGGTTTGGTGGTGCTCGCAGTGCAAATGTAGCCATTTCATTTTCTATCCAAAAGCACCAGTCTACCCACGTCCTCTGAGTTTTATATGTAATGTCAATGATGGTAAAAAAGGGGGGGGGGTAAGTTTTAGGTGTGGACTTTTACCTAATAACACCCTGCAGATATCTCTGCACCATAAAATCACTTTTAGGCCGAAAACCACGGTGCCCTTCGACATGTTCTCCAATCTTAAACACTTTCAACACCAAAACAAACACAAAGTGTGACCTCAGGTACCATTAGAACTGCAATGATCAGGGTTACCAAGGGTTTAGAGGTGCTGACCAATCAAAACGGCCAAACAAACAGATCACTAGTTTCAATATCTGCAAAAAGTCACGTTCAAATTCATATTCTGTGCATCTTCAGTTAAGCAGTCTGTGAAATACTAGGCTAGTCCTCCTCGTCATCATTCTCTGTGGATAAAATTAAAAGCGGTGGTCAATGAAACCTGAACACACATCACAAAACTATTTTAAACAGTGTTGCCCATCAAAGAGCTACAAAGGGTCTGGGTTTTATTAAAAGGCTTGAATTCACGCCTTAAAAAACCCACGAAGACCAAGTTTATTTCCTTAGTATGTCAAAATAATGACCCAGGATTTTGCAACAGTTACTTATTTCTGCAAAACAGTGCTTTAGTATCTTGAAATAATGACCGAAATATGTATTTACAATATGTACAAAATGACTTAATACATCAAAATATTGACTTAGCATCTCATCAGTATAAAATAAGCACATTGAAATATACTTTAACTATAAAACATCATCATCATGAAATACTAAGTCGTTATTTCAACACAGCAAGTCGACATTTTGAGAAAATAAAGTCATTTTTTCGAGATACTAAGTCAAAATTTGACATACTGCTGCCAAAAAGAGGGAAGAAAAAAAAGGCATTTTTCACCTGTTTTTTTTTTTTTTCTCTCAGTTTTCTTTGGGGACTTTTGTCTAATAATACCCTGCATGTATCTCTGCACCATTAATTCACTTTCAGGCCAAAAATTGCTCATAAAACAACGTCGCAGGCACCAAGCAGCATAACCATTTAGTGTGACAGCTCTCTGGGATGGAGCTTTTAGAGGCGTTAATGTTTCAGACGTCTGGTTCCTATCACCACCACTGTAACAAGTTTCTCAGACAAACCACTCTGAATGGCTTTAAATCTTAATAATTTAATAATATGGGAATTTTGAAAAATCGATGAAGTTGTCCTTCGAGATATAGAGTATAGAAGCAGAATGGAAGTGTGTTTATTCAGTGGGCAAGTTCAGCAAGATGGCACTGGGGATCACCGCTGCACCTGCGAATGTTCTGGCTATATGTAAGAAAATAAGACAAATCATTAGGACAGTTTAGGGAAACGAGCCTGAAGTGGGTTTTAATGATTAATTTCCTGTTTGGAAATCTGTCTGGTGGCTTCTGCTGCACTTGCATATGTTCTGGTTACATATTTGCAAATCATAACAAAAGTTTAGGTAATAAGGTTCAGGAAGTACCTCAGTGATTCACTGTCGCCACATATATGTCTTTTAAACGATGATTCGGCTGTTCAGTTTTCTTCGGTTCAGCGAAGCATGCTGATGGCAGGTTTTACAGCCACGAAGAAAACTGTCTTCCAACTTTGGACGGCCTCACAGCTTTCAGCTATGAAATTTTGGATATCTAGTTTTTAAAATATAGTTTGGATGGAATACCTTACAGTTTCTCTGCATACTTTGTTAGCCCCCTTTTACCCTGTTCTTCAGTGGTCAGGACCCCCATGGACCCTCACAGAGCAGGTACTCTTTGGGTGGTGGATCATTCTCAGCACTGCAGTGACACTGACGTGGTGGTGGTGTGTTAGTGTGTGTTGCGCTGGTCTGAGTGGATCAGACACAGCAGTGCTGCTGGAGTTTTTAAACACCTCAGTGTCTCTGCTGGACTGAGAATAGTCCACCAACCAAAAATATCCAGCCAACAGTGTCCTGTGGGCAGCGTCCTGTGACCACTGATGAAGGACTAGAGGATGACCAACACAAACTGTGCAGCAGCAGATGAGCTATCATCTCTGACTTTACATCTACAAGGTGGACTGACAAGGTAGGAGTGTCTAATAGAGTGGACAGTGAGTGGACAGTGTTTAAAAACTCCAGCAGCACTGCTGTGTCTGATCCACTCCGACCAGCGCAACACACACTAACACACCACCACCACCACATCAGTGTTACTGCAGTGCTGAGAATGATCCACCACCCAAACAGTACCTGCTCTGTGAGGGTCCATGGGGGTCCTGACCACTGAAGAACAGGGTAAAAGGGGGCTAAGAAAGTATCAGAGAAACAGATGGACTACAGTCTGTAACTGTAGAACTACAAAGTGCACCTATACAGTAAGTGGAGCTGATAAAACGGACAACGAGCGTAGAAACAAGGAGGTGGTCATAATGTTATGCCTGGTTGGTGTAGATGACTCTATTCAGGAATTTTAGTTTCCAATTCAATTGAGATGTTTAGTTGTGTTGTTTATATATTGTCTTTGCTTTATTTTTAATTAGTGTGTATTCCTATAAAACGTGTCACCGTCCTGCCTCCCCTACCCTTTACCTTTTCCCACCTAGTTGTAAAACATAGCAAAAAATGCAACAAAAAGTTGATCACAAAAAAAATGTTTTAGAAAATAAGCAAGACTGAGGCGCTCTCTTTTTTTTTGCTTTTATTTTTCTCCGCCATGATCTGAAAACAAAAATAAATCAAAAAAATACAATATAAACTTCTGTAAATCAATATAATGAGTTATTATTTTTCATCGACAGCAAAAACACAGAGCAAGACGACATACAGGTGCAAGAACAGACCGTTTCCGATCCATTCCACCCACGCAAGAGCTGTAAAATATGGCGATTTTTCTCAAACGGTAAGCCTGTCTACTGCCTTGACTAGTAAGGGTCAGACCCCCAGACGCATACAGCACACAGTCCACTAGAGGGCTCTGATGCGAAACGGAACCGAAGGGTTTAGCTTCAGCTTTTCTTTTTTTTCTTTTTTGGATGGCAGTTTATATATTTAACGTCCCCCATTTGAACCACAAACAGTGTTATTCACACCCTGCGCACCCTAAAACACGAGGGCCACTGCTTTGATATGAGGGTGGAAGGGACAAAGGAAACCGTACTAGAAAATGTACCACAATCTATCAGTTATAGGCGCAACTGAAGTCAGTCCGCCTGTCAAGCCACACTTGTAAACTGATCGCCCTTAATCCTCGATCAAAGCACTAAATTACCGTCAATTCACAGAATCTATAGGAACACATTCACAGCTATTTCTCCAAACGTCTTAAAACCGAAAACCCTTAACAATGTACATTAACCAGGCATCCTGACGGGAACTTCTTAAGGTGAACGATGGCATAGATAGTTAACAGTGAGATCTGCAGAAAGAGAAAGGCAAATAAATTTGGAGATTGGTGGTCAGGGGGAGGGGGGAGGGGTGGATTATATCAACCGTAACTCATGGACAGGTCCTTATTTTCAGTCTGCATTAGGGGCAGATATAAAAACTCAAGATTGTTGCCATTCTCATCTCATAAAAACAAAACAAAGTGGGAGAAATTATCCAAAAGGCAGAGGAAGAGGATCGAAGTGGCTCCAAGTTGTTGCACTGGGATGTTGTTGTTGTAGTGAAAAGACTGGGGGTCCTTGTGTCCTGGGCAGTGGATTTAGGTTTTTTTGTTGTTTGTGAAGGGGGGGGGACCCTGGGGGTCTCCTCACCACTCTTTCTTCTTCTCGTCCATGGAAACGCCCCCCGGACCCAAAGCGACCACTAACAGCAAGCCCCCGACGACTGATGTGGTCTGGAAGAAGTCGTACTTGAGGAAGTCGTGCATGGGCTTGTAGGCAGGCACCGTCCAGAAGGCGTTGAAGTAGACGTTGATGGCCATGAGCCACACCACCAAGGTGAGCGCGGCCAGCTTGGTCTTGAAGCCGATGGCCACTAGGATGATGAGGGCTGTGCCCACCATGTTCTGGAGGATCTAAGAAGTGAAACGAGATGGATTAGAAATGTTTTGGTGTTCGTGACGTCCAGTACAACTTACATACACTCTCAGAAATAAAGGTACGAAACTGTCACTGGGGCAGTGCCCCTCTTGTCACTGGTGTTGGACCCTCAAGGGTTCATCTCAGTACCTTTAGTCAGGGAACATAACTGAACCATAATCCACTGAAATGATATGTTCTAAGCTGTACTGACTCCACACAGCCCGTCTCGTCTCCAGGCTTTTATTTTACTGTTCTGTTTTAAAACATTCGGTTATGAAAAGGTATAAATATGAACTTTTCACCTGGAAACACTTATTTAAGGTTCACAATCAGACCATAAAACCACTGTTGTACCTTTGAGGGAACGTTTACACTGTTTGTACCTTGATGAACGAAAAATGTACCTCACAGAACCTTTATCCTGAGGCTGGGCGAACACTACACGACTTAAAACCTTAACGGATTTCTAAAACGGAGAGCATCACAAACTTAACATCAGTTTGTCACAGAGTTTCTTGTCTTTTTGTAGCGAGGGCGCTGACTCTAGACGACAAGGCAGAGAGAGAGTATAGCACACATAATGAGTCTGGGCTACGACATGAGAACTAATGCTGCCCTGACTTTGAAAAGACTTTTGAAAGACTGAAGTCCGACACCCTCTCGCATCTAAACACAATGTCACAGTTTTATGCCGGCCTGACACCAAACGACTTGTCAAACGATTTCACTGTCGCAGAGAAATTTCCAGAGTCCTGCTGGAGTCGTGCTCGCGTCATCTTGATCGTGGTGGTCAAGATGGCGGTGTTAAATAAGTCTTTTTGTCATCTTGACGCCACGGAAAAAAAAATCAACTGTGTTTAATATTATTATTCTAATAGTTTGAAGTCTCGGCTGATGCAAATAGTGACGTGGCAGGGGTGCTCGTACGTGCTTGTGAGCACGAGAGAGAGAGAGAGAGAGAGAGAGAGAGAGAGAGAGAGAGAGAGAGAGAGAGAGAGAGAGAGAGAGGTAAATCTGCTCCACTTTAATACAATAATCATATTAACTTACAATGTAAACTGACTGTTCTAATATTTCAGGTTCACTGAGTGTAACAGAGGTGTAAAGAAAGGTGCAGAGGACTTTAAAAAATGGCTTTGCTGAAGAATCATCCATGTTATTTTCCTTTTTTTTTTTGCTTTCTATTACACTGTTTGTTTCTTTATGGCTTAGTTCATAACAGCCAATCAACTATGCTAAATCACTGCATGTTTTGCACAATTTACAGGTTAGTTAATAAATTCTGGGTGATGATCTGCCAGAATACACAGTTCTACAGTGAACTGAGCTGAGCCCCAGACCTTTACACGCCCAGCCAGTGGATAAGTTTGGGAAAAAAAGGAGCAGCATTTGATGAAAAGAACACCTTGCCAAATATTAAGCATGGCTATGGATCTATTATGCTTTGGGGTCGTGTGGCAGCCAGTGGCTCAGCGCTGCGTCCTTAAGTTCTGACACTGTGTGGCACTGTTATCAATGAACATGTATTTTGTGTGTACTTTTGTCCATTTTCATAGAGAACACCTCTCATCTTATCCATTTAAGTCTCAACTAGAAACAGGGCCTCCAAAGCGTCAGGTCGGAGGGATGCAGCATGCGAGCGCCCTCACCGAGAAGAAGCTGGAGTCGAAGTGCAGCAGGGTCATGAACATGAGCACCAGCAGGACGCGGCCACCCAGCTGCATGTACTGTTTAGGGGAGCTCTCCCCCATCGACGGCACGCCTGCGAACATGCTCTTCCCTTCTGAGCGCGACTCGGCCAGAAGCAGCAGCAGACCACCGCCCAGCGCCAGGTTTCTACAGAGAGAGCGCACACACACACACACACACACACACACACACACACACACACACACACACACACACACACACACACACACACACACACACACACACCACCAGCAGGGCAGCTAGATCAATATACATATAAATGCACATATAACACATACAGTACAAATGTACTCCACAGACTCCACTCTTTTGTTTATTTAATTTTCAGTTTAAAAAGCCATCAAGTTATTTTTGAGCGTCAGAAAAAAACCCTTGTGTGGTGTTCAGGTCTGTGGGACCCATTTTCAATGTTTACCAAAAGAAAAAATGATGTAATTATTATTATTATTAACTTAAGTTACCCTTATTAGTCCCACAACGGGGAAGTTTCACCTCCGCATTCTAACCCATCCATGCAGTGAAACACCACATACACACTAGTGAACACACACACACTAGGGGGCAGTGAGCACACTTGCCCGGAGCAGTGGGCAGCCCTATCCGCAGCGCCCAGGGAGCAGTTGGGGGTTAGGTGCCTTGCTCAAGGGCACCTCAGTCACGTACAGCAGGCTCAGGATATTGAACTGGCGACCTTCTGGTCACAAGGCTGGTTCCCTAACCTCCAGCCCATGATTGGATAATTTATAAAATAATAATTTATTATAAATCATAATTTATTATTATTTCAACCCCTGATTCCTGGTCCTTTGCTCATTTTCTGTGAAGAACATATAAAATAACCCATTTTCAGTGTCTTCACTCTGTTCACCCCCCACACATTTATATTACACATGTGGTGTTGGGTGAACCCACGGGGAGTTAAAGTGTGGAGGTGCTGTGTCCTTCACTCTGTTCTCCTCCTACATGGCCTGCTGTTAGTGTGTGTGTGTGTGTCTGTGTGTGAGGGTGGACAACATGGACAGGCTGCTGACTGGCTACAGCTGCTAAAGGAGAACCCTACGCTGGACACTTGTGATATATTAAACATCTGGTATTTTTACATAAATTGTTTTGGCTGTATTGATTTAAAAAACAATACTGCGGTGGGTCCAGCAGACCACTGAGAAACAAACACATCAACACCACACAAGGGTTAAGAGAAAACTACAGAAACATCAATGCTGTGGAGTGAGGAACTTTGGGGGTGTGGAAAAATATCTTCTAAAAGCAGAAAAACTGAAAAAAGATCTAAAAAGTGAAACAATGGAACCTGTAAAAAAGAAAAAGGAGAAACACACTAAAGAAAAAAAAAATTATACATGACTTCATCTGTAGCAAAGATGCGTAGGTTGCTTGTATAAAAAAGAAAAATCTTTCTCAAACACATTTAAAATGATTTAATTAGCAAAATGTAAAATATGTTGTGCCAAACTCTCCCTGTTGTTTAGTGATGTGCTTTCACAGAACAGAGGATCACTCACCTCATCAAAAACTTTAGGTCCCACAGGATACTGTAGGCAACAGTCTGGAGAAAATAAAAAACGATGGGATCAGATTTATCTCGTGGACGTATACACACTGCACCATGTAACAGGACCACCTCACATGGTTAGATATTAAACCAATATTCAAATACATTTCCGAATAGCACGTTTGTTTCATTACCTGTAGCGCAATAATGCCAAATAACCCAAAGCAAGCATACTGCACGAAATTTCTACTGAGAACAAGGACACAGCCGCCTGTAAGAGAACAAAATATACAGTTAGACTATAAACCGACTTAACTGGAGTCAAAAAACATCAAAATCTGACCCCACAATTGTCCTTATTTATGATTTCTGTATTTATAAAATGCCCCAGGTGGCTGATCTTTAGCCCTGAATTGGTTATGCAGTCTAAAAACTGTAATCTCTATAAACTTGTGTCGGCTAAGTTTGGGGTAAAAAAAAAGGAGCAGCATTTGATGAAAGGAACACCTTGCCAACTGTTAAGAATGGCTATGGATCTATTCTGCTTTGGGGTTGTGTGGCAGCCAGTAGCTCAGTGCTGCGTCCTTAAGTAACATAAAACAGACTTGAATATTATGCTTCTGACATTGTGTGGCACTGTTTTCAATAAACATGGGCAAAACTACATCACGCAGCAGTTTGAAGCCTTAAAGCCTGTCAACTCATCTTATCCAGTTAAGCTTAACCAGAAACAGGGCCAGCAAAGCGTCAGGTTGGAGGGATGTAAGAGAACAACATACAGTTAGATTATAAACCATCTGAACTGGAGGAAAGAGAAACAAACCACCAAAATCTGACCTTTATGTGATTTTTTATTTTTTTATTTATGATTTCTGTATTTATAAAATGCCCCAGGTGGCTGATCTTTAGCCCTGGATTGGTTATGCAGTCTAAAAACTGTGATCTCTCCATAAACTTGTCTGCTAAGCTCTCTCTTCAGCTTGCAGACTGACTTTGCTATGGGTGGATACACTGCTGGACTGAAATCCATACTGATCTCCCAGTTAGTCACCGTCTTCTCTGAGGGTTAACTGACTCAACCACTGATGGCTGACTGCAGTACACCTTGTGATGAGTGCTACTACAATTACTCAATTCATTCTGAACTGTAATGGACATTTTAAATTGTCCTACTGCCTGATGGACAAACCCATTTATATAGGTGCACTTTGTAGTTCTACAGTTACAGACTGTAGTCCATCTGTTTCTCTGATACTTTGTTAGCCCCCTTTTACCCTGTTCTTCAGTGGTCAGGACCCCCATGGACCCTCACAGAGCAGGTACTGTTTTGGTGGTGGGTCATTCTCAGCACTGCAGTAACACTGACGTGGTGGTGGTGTGTTAGTGTGTGTTGCGCTGGTCTGAGTGGATCAGACACAGCAGTGCTGCTGGAGTTTTTAAACACCTCAGTGTCACTGCTGGACTCTTTTAGGTAAGTGACTCAAATCTGTCATTAATGTGACGAACCGGCGTCCTGAAATGACCCTCATGAGCTCATCCTACTCAGTAACGTCACGTGAGTGAATCACGAGCATCATCAGCACAAACTAACGAGCAGAACGAGCTTCGCTGAGAAGATAATTAACTCTGATCAGCTCTCAGCTTCATTATTAGAGCGAGACGAAGGAGAAAAAGGTGAGATGAGCTGCTTTTCCACCGTTTACAGGCTTTAACGTCTGTTCGGCGCTGCTGCCATGGTAACGCTGAATGATGGTCAAGCGCAGTGGAAAAAAAGCACATGAACTCAGATCTGAGCGTCACATTAAGGTCACACTGCCATGAATCGGATACGTATCTGATCTAGGACCACATATGAAAGTGGCTCAGGTTGGATTTGAAAAGATCAGATTTGTGTCCACACAGCTCTGAAAACAGATCTGAGTCACATTAGAGCAAAAAATCTGATTTGTGCCACTTCAGCCTGGTAACGTGAACGCAGCCTTAACGTCAGTGACTCAGCTTTTGTAAATTCATGATCAGTGAAGTTTTGCAATCTTTTTTTTTTCTTCCCAATTTTCTCCCCAATTTAGACGTATCCAACCCCCCCCACAAGTTAGGACACCCTCAATCACATGATACCACCAGCGCAAGGACAGTGAAGGCCAGCACAGGCTTCCTCCGAGACCTGGGAAGAGCCACCGCATCTTTTCGAACTGGTCTGATGTTGTTAATTCATTTCATTTGCACTGCGTTCAGGCTAATAACATCAGACCTCAGTTGAGACCACAGTTTAAGACCAGCCAGTCAGCCAACTCTAGGACATGTAACTGATGTTCATTATTGCGCATTTCTCATGATAAACAAGTCAACAACATTGCTGCAGCCATAAAACATTTCTCCTCACCAAGCTGTCCTAAAAGGTTAAGCAGCACAAAGCACGTGGCCAGGAAGTAGCCGCAGTTCCAGGTGGCCTCAATGTAGTCCCTCTGTTCGTTCCACTGGAACCACATGCGGATGCCGTCCTCCAGAAAGGTGCTGATTAGACACAGGCGGGCCAGGTGAGGCAGGTACTGCTTCGTCACTCTGAGGAACTGCGGAGGAACCAAAGGATTGGCTTTACTCAGAGGTTTTGCCCGTATATCATTTTCTTTGGGTACAATTTTGCCATGCAAAGTCCTGCACGTGATTCTCTGCCACGAATGGCTTAAAACTGAACCACTTCTACACCAAAACTTTACCTCAAAGCTACTGCTACAATGTCTCAGGCTTATTCTTAACTATTCAGTGTGTGTAACTTCATAGTGATAACTGTGAGGTAGCTTTTGTGGACCTTAATCTCTTCAGACGTCTGGTTCCTATCACCACCACTGTGAACTGTTCGGATTCCGCAGGTTGATCATTCGCATCGAATCATTCCGAATGACTTTGCTTACCTGTTAACAGCTTAATGATGCAGAATTTTGTAAATTTTGGTGGAATTCCCCTTTAAAACAGAAGAAAAGTCTAGCGCGGGGAGACCTATCGGAGGCGTGTTTTGCCGGAGAGCATGCGGACTCCCTGGCTCCTCCTCCAGAAAGCGCTTCAATCAGATTATTGCATGTGCAGTATGGGGGCGCATGGAGGTAGGGGGTAGTTTTTGGGGGGGTAGTTGAGGCAGGAGGAGCGGGGTAAAAGTGCATTTGTGTCAGTGATGCCCACAGATTTTATTCTGATTAAGTTAATGTGTTATTTTGTGTATTTTGCCTCCATTTGTGTATAAAATTACTAGGAATTTCAGCCAAAAACTATTTTAGACACATAATTTTACAATTTTTTTATGTATGTTTAAAAACCAGTTTAGAAAAAAATGATTTCCTACTCTGCAGCAGCTCCGTGTTAGCCACCTAACCCTGCCCATTAAAGGGAACAAAAGGCCATGTTCTAGAGTCACTGTTTAACAAGCCTGTGCAGAACATTCTCCATTTAAGAGCTCTACCGTACTCTAGTCTCAGCCTAGCATGTGGTCACTGGGGCACCATCTAATTGGCTGCCACGCCTGTCCGTCTCACGTGGCCCAGATTACTTATGGGACTTGTTGAGCAGGGATTGGCTGCTTTGCTATGCCAATGCTGATGTGGACACTGTGGTGGGTGGGGCTTCTGACTCACATGGGTTTAGCAAAGTGTGCATTCTTGGGGAGGGGGGTTAAACTTAAATAGCACACATGGGGGGGTGCAGGGTTGTGTGGCTTTTCCTGGTAGCTTTATCAATGAGCCTGAAAAAAACGCCTTGGCTTTCATGTTGAAACAAAACCCAGACAACAAGCCTTTCATTACATCCGTAACAGCCTCGATGATGCAATTCATGTGACCGAGAGACGCCAGCGTCTGTCTGAAGGAGGACGTGGCTGCAGATACACCAATCAGGCATAACATTATGACCACCTCCTCGTTTCTACGCTCATTGTCCATTTTATCAGCTCCACTTACTATATAGGTGCACTTTGTAGTTCTACAGTTACAGACTGTAGTCCATCTGTTTCTCTGATACTTTGTTAGCCCCCTTTTACCCTGTTCTTCAGTGCTCAGGACCCCCATGGACCCTCACAGAGCAGGTACTATTTGGGTGGTGGATCATTCTCAGCACTGCAGTAACACTGACATGGTGGTGGTGTGTTAGTGTGTGTTGCGCTGGTATGAGTGGATCAGACACAGCAGTGCTGCTGGAGTTTTTAAACACCTCAGTGTCACTGCTGGACTGAGAACAGTCCACCAACCAAAAATATCCAGCCAACAGCGTCCTGTGACCACTGATGAAGGACTAGAGGATGACCAACACAAACTGTGCAGCAGCAGATGAGCTATCGTCTCTGACTTTACATCTACAAGGTGGACTGACAAGGCAGGAGTGTCTAATAGAGTGGACAGTGAGTGGACACAGTGTTTAAAAACTCCAGCAGCACTGCTGTGTCTGATCCACTCAGACCCTGCCAGTCTGCAGTGACAGCAGAGGAGGGTAAAGTTCAGCTCCTCACTGCTGGGCTTTAGTTACATTTAGGGCATCATATGCCTTCAAAGAGGGGGGCGATTATTTATTATCGCCCACCTCTAAATCTTTGGAGATACGAAGCTGAAGTCAGATATTCACCAGATTCTTGTTCGAATTTTCCTGTTGCACCTTAAATGGAGCAGCAGTTACATTCTGGCGCATCAGGCGTCAGAACTGCCGGACGATTTAAGGTGGAACGGAAAAGTTAGCTAGCCAGCTACCGACACATTAGCATACTATTAGCAATTTTTTATGCTTGTTATAAGGAAAACGACCATAATACACTGAAACGACATTAAACTAAGATCATACAGTGGTTATCGTAAATTTTTGACACAGAAAATACTCATATTTGTGGGTTTCTTTGGTCGCTTGTGGATCCATCTTGCCGGTTTTCCCTTTTTTCTCATAACACTCTGTTTGGAGTGACCCTGAAAAACCTTCGTTTGGAGGGACACCCTACCCCTAGGCGTGAACACACAAAACAGAGGGCTAAGGGCTCAGTGGTAGGGGCGAGGGGTGAAATGGGACTGGGCCTTAATCCATTTCCCTTCTTACAGCAAATGTAATCAATCAGACGTGTCTGATATCTGAAGTTTGCTTCTTTAGCTTTGCACTGAAACTGTGGAGGTAAAACTGACTGTATGCAGCTTTGGTGAATAAGGGCCACAGTTCATGCCCACCGTAGCACATTCTGCCCACCATTCGTACATCTTGTTGGCCTCTGCGCACATTTTCACTTCAAATACACTCATTATAAATCAGCACTTCAACAAATACAATCATTTTACCATCAAATCTGTGTACCAATGTTTCACAAATGAGGCGCCAGAGGCTCCAAACTTTTACTGGGAATGCGCATCAATGGTAACGACGCAACGCTGCTTGAGCAGCTGATGATTTAAGAACGAATACTGTACAAGCTTCCCTTACTTGCTGGCGATATTAGCTTTGCTGCTCCAGTGCAAAACTAAAGAAGCAAACCTCAAACGCCAAACGTGTCTCGGCCGATCGACTACATTTGGGGTGAGGGGGAAAACTGTACTTGTGCTTTTCGGCTGTTCCACTGCTTGAACTCATCATTTAGCTTTGCCTTTGTAGCCCCTAAAGGAGAACTCCACCGATTCTGCATAATTCAGTAGATGAGACGTAAACAAAGTCATTCAGAGCGGTCTGATGTGAAATGGACCACTGGGTGTGTTTACATGCACTTAATAATCCGAGAACTGCGGAAAAACTGATTTTGTCGGTAATCTGATCAACGTGTTGAGCAATCAGATAACAGGGAAACTCCAGGTCTACATGAGTCAGACAGTAATCGGATTTCTGCTTTTCAACCAGCCAATTAACTCACAGAAGAAGACGTGACGTCAACGTAATGTAAAACTCAAACTAACATTGCGACAATTTACCCAAAAATATGAACATGCATCATCTAACACAGGGGTCTTTAATTTAAATTCAGTAAGGTCCAGTTAGAGAAAATTTCCTCAAGCGAAGGTCCAGAACATCATAATGTCTAACCTGCATCATGATTCAGTGCCATATACTGTTTACTGAAGTAGCCTAGTAGGTATATCAACATCTTATACAGTCAACAACTGAATATCAAATCAAATAAATTATAATTCAGTCATATTTCAACAACATTTATTGTCAGTTTTCTCTTTTTAGAGCTTGCAGTGTGAAATAACTTCCCTCTGACTCACTTTCTTCTCCGACTGCTGTTTCTCGCCTCGTCCCTCCCCTGTGTGTGCGTCACTCACTCGAGTCTCAGTGCTCATCGTAATGCACAGATCTGATTGGCTGAGTAGCGTCACACGTGATGTTTACAACGCATGCGATTGGTCTGTGACTCTCCTGGGCCACTAAAGCTTCCGTAATGACTAGAAAAGTTACGCCGATTAAAACAGGACCACCCCGTCGAAATTAAATAATTCTCCATATTTTATCAGTTTTAGGTCCAGGTCCGCAAAGGACAGCGTCTGGGTCCGGACTCGGACCGTGGTCCGCCTATTAGTGACCTCTGACCTAGAAGATGAAGAATATTTAAATCCTTTATTTCGTGGTTTCAGCGCCACTCCAAAAGTGTTTCAGTGCATCTCGCAGACTCACTGCTTGCTTATATCTGGTACCGCGGTCTGTTCTTGCGCATGCGCAGACTGAGGAATCCGAAAGAAATCAGAGTAAGAGTCACATGCACTGAGAAATCTGATTACTGAGCTAAAACCCAGCTCTCTTTATCAGATTCCTTAATCAGATTTCTAGATCAGAGTATGGTGTTTACATGACCGTTTGGATAATCGGATTACTGCAGAAATCCGATTATGATGTTTATGATTATTATGTAAATGCACTCATTGTAAAGAAAGTTACCGACACTCATTTCTTTACAGTGGTGGTGATGGGAACCAGGGGTCGCCATGCCTAACGCAAATATAGCCATATTTAATATTCAAAATGACCAGTGAAGCTACATGTGGCTCGTCAGCTGTACATGCAATGCTGATGATGGTAAAAACGGTGATAAATCTGAAAAAAATTAGTTTTAATGGGGACTATTTTCCCCTTAGACGTCATGCATGTCCCCCTCTGTCAGGAATGTATTTTAAACATTATTTTTTTTAAGCCAAACACACCGGAAAGCAATGTGTCAGTCACCAGGCAATGCATTCATAATCTTTTAATGTAATAACTTCCTGCCAGGGAGCTGTTAGTCATTAACCTCTGCACACATCCGGTTCCTATCACCACTACAGTGAACAGTTCTGAGGCGGAAAAAAAAGAACATTTCACATCAAATCACCCTGAATGGCACTGTTTACATCCCAACGACTGAATTATGCAGACACTTTGAAATATCAGTGGAATTTCCCTTCAAACCTCCTATCCGTTGCTAGAGAGCATATAAGAGTAATAACACATCCAGCTCATTCACAACTACTGTGTATTTCTGACTCGGCCTACTACGCTGGTGCTATACGGCATCGCGCCACATGAGCTGAACTTGAAACCTGAGCTGTATTTAGACTGGAGATCTGCAGGGAATTCCTGTTACATGTCATCCCAGAAACTATCGTAAAACACAGGCCAACACATTCTCACTCTCCGCGGTTCATATGCCACCCTATTCCTGTAGACAGCCGAACGCATGATACAAAAAACTACTCAGAACGGCTTTAAAGGGCCCGTATGGTGGAGAAATTGGGCTTTCCTCACTTTTTTGCAAGAAAAATGTTTGTTTACACCGATCATAACATTCTGACCACCTCCTTGTTTCTACGCTCACTGTCCATTTTATCAGCTCCACTTACTATATAGGTGCACTTTGTAGTTCTACAGTTACAGACTGTAGTCCATCTGTTTCTCTGCATACTTTCTTAGCCCCCTTTTACCCTGTTCTTCAGTGCTCAGGACCCCCATGGACCCTCACAGAGCAGGTACTATTTGGGTGGTGGATCATTCTCAGCACTGCAGTAACACTGACGTGGTGGTGTGTTAGTGTGTGTTGTGCTGGTCCGAGTGGATCAGACACAGCAGTGCTGCTGGAGTTTTTAAACACCTCAGTGTCGCTGCTGGACTGAGAATAGTCCACCAACCAAAAACATCCAGCCAACGGCGTCCTGTGACCACTGATGAAGGACTAGAGGATGACCAACACAAACTGTGCTGCAGCAGATGAGCTATCGTCTCTGACTTTACATCTACAAGGTGGACCGACAAGGTAGGAGTGTCTAATAGAGTGGACAGTGAGTGGACACAGTGTTTAAAAACTCCAGCAGCACTGCTGTGTCTGATCCACTCAGACCAGCACAACACACACTAACACAGCACCACCACGTCAGTGTTACTGCAGTGCTGAGAATGATCCACCACCCAAATAGTACCTGCTCTGTGAGGGTCCATGGGGGTCCTGACCACTGAAGAACAGGGTAAAAGGGGGCTAACAAAGTATCAGAGAAACAGATGGACTACAGTCTGTAACTGTAGAACTACAAAGTGCACCTATATAGTAAGTGGAGCTGATAAAATGGACAATGAGTGTAGAAACAAGGAGGTGGTCCGAATGTTATGCCTGATCGGTGTATCGAAGTTATAAGGAGTGTTTCAGCCTAGGCTGCTTATTTAATGAGGTGAAATGCAAGGCAGGCAGTCAGAACCAAGGTTGTTTATATGTATCAGTTTTGAAGGCCCAGTAAAAAAGCCTGTTTAATACTAAGACGTACCAAGAATTTGGGAAATTACCAGGTAAAACTGTTTTTGGTGCACAAACCAGGAGAAATGTAGGACATTAGGTCGTTTAAGACTGCTGCCCTGTAAACAATGCCAAAGTCTTCACAGCTCAGAAAAACCTACGTAACACAGGGACCCCTTTGCAAAAGGCGCATTATGAAAAGTGCTCTCTGTTACTGGCCTCGATAAACCCTCAGACCCCATTGAGCAACGACTGGCTGCTGTTTCACAACGTCATGGAGAGGCCCGACTTACAGGGCCCATCATGTGGAGAACTGGATTTTCCTCGCTTTTATTTTCTGACGTGAAAAGCTTCGATGTAAACATTATTAAGCTTCCAAAAAACCACAGATCGTACAATCACAGATAATTTGCACATCATCTCTGTCCAAGGAAAAACAAGCATCTCCAAAGTGGTAACTTTACAGTAGAGAGCAAAAAACGCTCTTTACTTCTAATGCAAGTTAATGTAAAGAGATTTTATTGGAAGCGATTCTGGAGGATTTCTATTGGTCCAGTCGTTATGACATTTTCACACAATGTTCAGGACAGCTGAGCTCAAATTATGCAGAAATCTAAAAATAACCAAAATTTGATGTACTTGATTTTTGGGCAGTTACGATATTTCAGTCTTAAAGGGACGGCAGCAAAAACAGCCTGATTATTAATAAGGGATACAGAGAGGCTGCAAAATGATCGTGTTAAATGAATTAGGAATACGTTTGAGACGTTAACCTACACAAACGTCACAAGTGGACCTCAAAATAAACATACAAGAAAAATGTAGGATATGGGCCCTTTAAATGCAGCGTTCCATCAATTGGAATATCAACTATAAATCTTTTTGCATGCCATGCAATGCAGCAGCGGCACGACTGCTTGTGTGGGAGGGAACTTGTCGTTTTTCAGTTTTTGGCATAATTTGAAAATCCCTGTTGCTCTTTACATTGTGTGTAAATTTCGTAATGAAGGGACCAAAAGAAACGGCCCAAAATGACTTGGGTAAATCTCTGGTTCCATTGACTTACATTAAAAGTAAAGTAGGTTTTTTCCTTCTCCTGTAAAGTTACCATTTTGAAAACACAAGATACGTTTTCCTCCAATAACAGCGATAAGCTACCCTCTTTTACCATTATAGCAATCAGCAATCTGTCCCTGGAACACTTAGGAAAAACTCAGGAATTCTGCTAAGTTATTTAGCTTATAAATAAATAAATAAATAAATAATACAAATAGGAAGAAGAATAAGAACAAAAATAAAACAATTTATCCGTAAATTTCTCAAACCCTGCAATAGAACAAGAACATATCGCTGCTGTCAGAAGAAAAACTATCTCCATTTTTGACGTTTTTCAGTTTTTGACACATTTTGAAAATACCTGTCGTCCTTTACATTGTGTGTAAATTTCATGACGAATGGACCAAAAGAAACAACCCAAATTTACTTGGAAAAAAGTCTGGTTCCATTGACTTACATTAAAAGTAGAGTAGGTTTTTTCCTTCTCCTGTAAAGTTACCATTTTGGAGATACGAGGTTTTGGTCCGACAGCAGTGATAAAGCAGTTTCAATAGCAATGATATGCGATCAGCATGCAGGACAATTTTTCAACATTTCTGCATATTTCAGTGTTTGAGACGTAAACAGAGTCATTCAGAGTGGTTTGATGTGAAATGGTTTATTGCACAGACTCAGTGGTGGTGACAGGAACCAGCGGTCACAATGTCTACAAGACAAATATAGCCATTTTACATACTATCCAGAGCCACCAGTCAACCTACATGCAGTATTTATATGTAATTGATGATGGTAAAATCTGAAAAAATAAGCTTTCTTTAGGGACTATTTTGCCTCACAACTCCCTGCCTGTATCCCTCCACCACGAATGGCTTAAAATAAATGTCTCAAAATACATTTTAAGCCAAAACTTTATCAGAAACAAACTGTCTCAGTCATCAGGCAGTGAATTTACAACCATTTCATGTAATGACTGTCTGTTAGGGAGGGTTTATAGGTGGACGTCTGGTTCCTATCACCACCACTGTAAACAATTCAGACTCGGCAAGCTTCTCTAGAACAGGGCAATTCACACCAAACCACTCTGGGTGACTCTGTGTCCATGTCAACCATTTAAACAAGTACAGTTTTTGGAAAAATTGGTGGAGTTTGGTGAAGACCAAAGCTTACTGTAAAAAAGATACAAGAACGTTATATGAACTCATTATCTTAATCTTTCTTCCTCCTACAGAGGTTTTCCCGACTCTGGATTCCTCTCAGCGGTTCTTCCTCATACTCTTACAGAGGTTTTCCCGACTCTGGATTCCTCTCAGTGGTTCTTCCTCATACTCTTACAGAGGTTTTCCTGACTCTGGATTCCTCTCAGCGGTTCTTCCTCATACTCTTACAGAGGTTTTCCCGACTCTGGATTCCTCTCAGCGGTTCTTCCTCATACTCTTACAGAGGTTTTCCCGACTCTGGATTCCTCTCAGCGGTTCTTCCTCATACTCTTACAGAGGTTTTCCCGACTCTGGATTCCTCTCAGCGGTTCTTCCTCATACTCTTACAGAGGTTTTCCCGACTCTGGATTCCTCTCAGTGGTTCTTCCTCATACTCTTAAGGGGTTTCTCCTTCCGAGTCTTGGTTCCTTTAAGAGGTTCTTTAAAAGCTTCTCCTTTTGAGATTTGATTCTGCTCAGCGGTTCTTCCTCATGCTCTAGTTCAGGGTTTCTCAACCACTGGGCCGAGGACCACAAGTGGGCCACCAAGCACCCCTTGGTGGTCCTTGGGCCTATACTGGGGGGAGGGCAGTGGTCTGTAGTGGGCCTGTGATGGCACTTTATCATAAAATATCATAAAAATCAGTGAAAAAATAATAAAATTGACTTAACAATAAAAAAAGAGATATAAAATGTTTGACAGTTAACAACATGAATACAAGCCCCACAGTGACAGCGCACAGAGGCAGTGTCTTCAATTTTCTGCCCTTTGCCTCTACAAACACCTGACCTATCGACTGTCCACTCACACCAATATTCTGCTGATCTTTCATGTTCACTGATACACATCACATCTTGCAAAAAATTGGTGGAGTTTCCCTTTAAAGGAACGGTTGCGTGCAAAAGCCTAGGCTGCAGAGTGAAGCAGGGGATTGAACTACAACGTTACCGGCTACTTCTGTGTGCCAAAAGAATAAAATATAAGGAATAAAACTACTAAAAATCAACAACCAACACTGGGCTGAACCCACACAGAGCTAAATCTGAGGCAGTGTCTCATTCAGACAAGTTAGCCGGAAAGTTGCGAGGCAGTTGGACCCACAATATTTGTAAAAAAATCGGCAAAAACGGCTCCAAAAAGAAACAACAGCGGCTTTAGAAGCGACTAAGACGGTTCAGAATCGGTGCTGCATCCTGATAAACCAGGTTCCAGCCAGGCTAACCTGCCTCAAACACCCCATTCGGTTTGGCTGTGAACTTTGCTGGGTAATTAGCCTAGCCTAGCCTAGCCTGATTTTGCGGGGCTGGGAAACGAGCGGATCCCGTTAAGACGCACCTGGTCCGCCACATCCTCCGCCGTGCTCATCAGATCCTCCTGCCCCATGGCTCACAGGTGGGAAGCGCTTCGGAGGTACGACGCCGGTATGAGGGTTATTTTTTGCTCCGTTTTCCTGCTTTTGCTTCAGAAACACTTGTTCGCCCCTGTCTGTCTCTGCAGACTAGGCCGCCGCCGTCCCACAATCCTCCTCTGCTGCGATGGCCCCCCTCGCAAAGAGCCCTGGACCGCTTTGTGCCACGTGTACTCAGAAGGCCCTCACTCGCTCACTCACTCGCTCGTCCTGCCTATTAGATTTACTCTTATTATAATATAATATAATAAACTGACGTAGCAAGAACGCTGTGTAGTACTATTCAAAGGGGAAGTCCACCGAATTTTCAAACTGCCCGAATAAACCAATTACAGAGATGTTATTTAGAGTGGTTTGGTGGGAGATTATGGGTAGAATGGGACAGAAGCTCAATTTTTTGTTTACTGCAGTGGTAATAAGAGCCAGAGAGTGGTAATAAGAGCCATTTTATGTCCTATTCAAAATAATCATTGAAATAATTGAAATAGTATGGAGCCCCATAAGGGGCCGTGGTTAAGTTTATGACATTGCGTTCCCTTGCAAATAAAATGCGTTCCCTCCCAAATGTTTTGTGTTCCCATGCAAATAAAATGCGTTCCCTCGCAAATGTTTTGCGTTCCCTTGCAAATAAAATGCGTTCCCTCGCAAATGTTTTGCGTTCCCTTGCAAATAAAATGCGCTCCCTTGCAAATGTTTTGCGTTCTCTCGCAAATAAAATGCGTTCCCTCGCAAATGTTTCGCGTTCACTTGCAAATGTTTTGCGCTCACTCGCAAATAAAATGCGTTTCCTCGCAAATGTTTTGAATTCGCTTACAAAAGCTGTGCTTTGCTTAAGCTCAGAGACGGAGCAGCTCATTGAATTTTATGTTGATCTTGGATTGAAATATAAAGACATTGTGTTGCTTCTCAAAATCGAACATGATTCTGCTGTTAGTGACTCAAACTGAGACTGAGGTCGAGGGTCCTCGTACAGCAAAAGCTACATTTACAGAGATGCAGAGAACAATTGCTGAATAAACTCAGCACAGACGGGCCAAACTGGGAAAACAGCTTTTAACGTTAAATATGCTAAAAACAAAGCTCTAATGTAGGCCCTGTCGTTGGGCACCTCTGGTCCTACATTTGCTTGCTATCTGACCAGCATATATTTCGCAGGGGAACGCAATGTCATTAACCGTTTTATTATTTTTTTTAACCACGGCCCCTTAGGGGCTCCGTAAAATAGTGCTAAATTCAGATAAAAAAAATTAGCTTTCTTTGTGGACTATTTTAGCATGCAGTGCCTACTATGTACCTCCCTGCCTCACATGTATGTAAAAATACATTTTAAGTCCAAAGCTTATTAAAAAAAAAAAAGATACAACAACATTATATGAACTCATTATCTTAATCTTTCTTCCTCTTACAGAGGTTTTCCTGACTCTGGATTCCTCTCAGCGGTTCTTCCTCATACTCTTAGGGAGTTTCTCCTTCCGAGTCTTGGTTCCTTTAAGAGGTTCTTTAAAAGCTTCTCCTTTTGAGATTTGATTCTGCTCAGCAGTTCCTCCTCATGCTCTAGTTCAGGGTTTCTCAACCACTGGGCCGAGGACCACAAGTGGGCCGCCAAGCACCCCTTGGTGGTCCTTGGACCTATACTGGGGGGAGGGCAGTGGTCTGTATTGGGCCTGTGATGGCACTTTATCATAAAATATCATAAAAATCAGTGAAAAAATAATAAAATTGACTTAACAATAAAAAAAGAAATATAAAATGTTTGACAGTTAACAACATGAATACAAGCCCCACAGTGACAGCGCACAGAGGCAGTGTCTTCAATTTTCTGCCCTTTGCCTCTACAAACACCTGACCTATCGATTGTCCACTCACACCAATATTCTGCTATTTCATGTTCACTGATACACATCACATCTTGCCCCCCACATATTCCTTGAGAACCTTGGTTTTCCAAGGCCTGTTATGACCCAAGGCATCTTTATGTGTGCTGTGAACAAATCCTGCAACTGTAAATAAGCTGTTAAGGCCTGTTAGAAGGCTCACGTCACTCAAGGATGATTCCTGCATTTACGTCACTGTCAGACTAAAACATTAAATCTTAATGTTAAAAAAATAATAACTGGACTGCCTTTCAGTTTTGAGTTAACTGAACTTCTAATAGTAAATTAAATGAAAAAAAAATGTCTTATACTGTTAGATTATTATTTGAAGTTCAATTTACTCTTTTTTTGGCAGACTTGTTACTAACTTGTTAAAGTTATAACAAATCTGTTTTACAGTAATGATGGGCCATTTCTATTGATGCTGTCATCATGGGATTTTTAAAACAGGAGCAGAGAATGCCTCCAATGTCTACCTTAACCCTTGTGTGGTGCTGATGTGTTTGTCACTCAGTGGTCTGCTGGACCCACCACATTATTGTTTTAAATCAATACAGCCATAACAGTTTATGTAGAAATACCAGATGTTTAAAATATCACAAGTGTCCAGCGTAGGGTTCTCCTTTAGCAGCTGTAGCCAGTCAGCAGCCTGTCCCTGTTGTCCACCCTCACACACACACACACACACACTAACAGCAGGCCATGTAGGAGGAGAACAGAGTGAAGAACACAGCACCTCCACACTTTTACTCCCCGTGGGTTCACCCAACACCACTTGTGTAATATAAATGTGTGGGGGGTGAACAGAGTGAAGGCACTGAAAATGGGTTATTTTATATGTTGTTTACAGAAAATGAGCAAAGGCCAAGAATCTGAGGTTGAAATAATAATAAATCACAATTTTTTATTTTGGTGAACACTGAAAATGGGTCCCACAGACCTGAACACCACACGAGGGTCAAGCAATTTAGAAAATTTTGTGTAGCAGTGATTTTGTTGAAAAACAAGCACTAAAAGGTTGATGCAACTCAACAATACCATTTATTTAGTGAATTAAAGCATACAGACATGTACGCAAGGTGTCAGCCTCAGGGAAGAAACACTAACAGTTTCTGTGCACGTCTATACTTAAGTCACAATTAATGGGACATCTGATCCATTCAGCAAGGTATGTTTGCAAACACAGTGGAAAAAATACCTGACAGACAAAAAGGTCCCACCTTATTACACAGATAGAGGGTTTGGGGTATTCAGGTTCTGTCAACATGGACAAGCTAAAACCATATTGTGTAAGCTGGCTGACCATACTCCCCGAACCTAATGATGGACTACACTGCGATGCATATGTACAGGAATGGTTTGGTGGAATCACCCAGATGTAGTTAATCAGTCAAGACATGTTTTTTGTGTCCAAATCTTGCTTTAGTTTTTAGATATTTCCCACACTTCTAAAGTTCAGTCGTAGAAGTTTGTTGCACTTTCTGCTTCTCCGATCCGAGTAATCCCACATTGAGTGATGTTGAGGTCTGGACCTGGGGGTGGGGGGTGGGGGGTGGTCAGTCCACTGTTCTGAGAACACCAGCAGCTTCTTTGTTTGACTTGCAAATAATTTTTGTCTGTTTCTTTTTTTCAGTGAGGTTCTTCTTGAACAGCTACACATCCTTTCAGACCCACAGCGCTGAGTTGTCTTCTCACACTGGAAGGATGGACTGAAACACCTGTCTCGAGAGCAGGTTTATCTGATGGGGACACTACTGGTGGTCTGCCAAGATAGACGTTAGGAGTGCCAGTTTCTTTTTAATCATTTTATTTAAAAAATCACTTTTAATCATTTCCATTTTTCCACCTATTTTCATTTGACTGTCTTCTTCATTATGGAAGTGGATTATCTTCTATCCAACCTCCTTAGAAACATCTCGTGAAAACTTCATAGCTTGTAACAAAAATTCATTATAAAATGGCGACTCTGACTAGAAAATAAATAAAATAATGGTGGTCACAGCCGTGTTACGTCCCAGAAAACACCCCTTAGTGTTTTAAGTGTAGGCTTAAGTTCTGTGTGTGAAAACTGCCCCCAGAAATGCTTACCTGATGACTCTGCCTGTTAAAATTAACATATCGTCGCTGCCCAAAGAAAAACAGGTATCTCCAAAATAGTAACTTTACAGGAGAGGGCAAAAACCTTCTATACTTTCAATGCAAGTTAATGGAAAGAGATTTTATTCTAAGCAATTTTAGAGCATTTCTACTGGTCCAATTGTCATGAAATTTCTACACAGTGTGAAGGACAGCTGCTGAGCTCAAACGATGCAGAAAAGTAAAAATCGCAAAAAAATCGAGATACACGTTTTTTAATTGGACAGCGACAAATACAGATACTTTATCCTCAAACTATAAACAGCTGCAGTGAATAATACTGAACACCTGTTTCTCCAGCAGTGAGCAGAGGCTGGATGGAATGATAAAGTGAAAGAAAGGTTGCTGTGGATGTTAACTTGCCAATTTGAGTCTGGCAGTGCACACGGTTGGTTTGACAAGACTTGCTGGCATTAATTCACACTTTAACGGAGTGGAGAAACACCCGAAGAAGCTGACAACACCAAGACTTACATTTAAATCACAACAGCAATCACATAACTCAAGTCTTTCGATTATAGCAGCTGTGTTTTTTTTGAGAACGAGCTTATCTTCACGTCTCCTGCCTGCACATTGCATCCCCTGAGCTAGACGCCGAGTTCTCCCCAACCGAATGGCCGACGACAAACGGAAGATCAGCAACTGTCGCTTTGAGGGAATCCGTGTAGTTGGTCTTGGCCATCCATACTTGTCGTCTAACAGCCACAGACGCTGCCATGATCCTTCCGGAAAGCTCCGCCTGATGCGAGGAGAGCTGGAACGTAAACTGTCCGATGAGCTTCAGCTCACTGAGAATGGCTGGAAGCCTTTGGGAAGGCTGTTCTTCCGAGATCTCCGCCAAAAGGCGCTTCTGATAGTCCGTCATGTATCGTAAATAGTTCGCCGTCTTGGCTAGCATGCCCGCAGTCTGGTAGGCCTTTTCCACGAGAGCTTCGGTGAACTTCCAGTGTTCAGGAGGAATGGAGTGTTCCTTGTTCTCGGAGGGCCTGACCGCCTGGAAGATGGCTGACATGAACCCGTTGATTTGAGGCATGTGGTCATAAGCTGGAGACTGGCATTCGTGAAGCTTGTACAGCTCTGCAAAGATCGGCCTGAAGGGTTTCGAGCTCGCTGGGTTGGACCACGTGATTTGTACGAAATCTTCAAACTCCGGCACCATGGTTGGAAGCGGCGGGTCAGAGCAGTTTGCCGATCCGGGAAAATCGATACCCAAGTGTTTGGCCGCACGGCTTATGAGATTCTGCAGCTCTCTGGATCCGAGAACCTCTTGTGTTGGCAAATCGCTCACAGATGGCTGAGAATCAGTCTCTCCGTCGCCTTCAAGCAACAAACCTGACCTTGAACCGCACGAGACACCTACCGGGCTTTCTTCTTGTTTCACTACGACCGATGGGTCCATGGATCCAGTCACCATGGAATCGACATTCGAAACGGTCTGTTCTCCTCGATCCACGTGGGACAAGCTGAACGCCTGAGAGATTTCCACAGCGTTTGGACAAACTGGAACAGCTGAGGAACCTTTCTTCTCCAGAACATCTATCCTCCGTTCCAGCATGCTCCACTGCATTTGCATGGCCCTCTGCTGGGCTTCCAGCTTCTGCTGCACCATCTCCAGCAGACGCCCGTTTCGTCTTTCCAGCTTGGCGGATTTCCGCGATTCTCGCCGCGCCCTCTTGCCCTTGACAGATTCGCAGGAGGAATCGGACGAGCTCCAGGAGGAAGATGAGGATGAAGATGGGGAATGTTTGCGTCTGTGCCCGCGGCCCCTGCTCGCATGCCTCGTGCAGCATGAGCGACACCTAGAGGAATGGTGCCTTTTGCGGGAAGTGGACGGCATCGGTGGAGGATTTGCGTGCTCCACAGATGGAGCCGGTTCTGACGTGTGCTGCAAGGCTAATCGTGATACATACGTGCCTTTTACGATGCCGGCGTTAGGTTCAGATAAGCCCGGAGAAGGGGAGAGAATCGTGAACATCACTGGTACCGTTGAAGACGACGGAGCCGGTGCTGCCATTTCCGTCCGTGACGTCGTCGGTGCAGCAGGTGCCACCTTCATCGGTTTAGATTCCGTAACGGCAGCAGGTGGAGTCACTGGCTCAAGCTTGGGATGAACTCCACTCTGAGCAGCTTCATGTTTCTTCTGCTGGGTTTCCTGGTGCATCACCTCCTGCACCTTTGTGAGACGTTTGATGCAGGTGCTCCAGTCCATCTTGGCACAGTGGGGGCACTTTCCGTACTCCAGGACGGCCTCCTTGGCATGCTGAATCCCCAGGCAAAGCAAACATTTGTCATGGGTGTCCTTGGACTGGATTTTGTAATTGCGGCAGGCACACCACGTAAATTTCACAGTCGAGCTTGCCATGGTGAACAGTCAAGTTAGGGATTTCGTAGGATTTTTAAGATGCTCCGTCACTCATGCATACATTCCTGAAAAAAATAAATAAATAAAATGATGAGTGCACTGGAGCATTTAACAAACAAATCTCTCCAATGCAGTAAATCAAGTCAAACGACCATGCAAGTTGGTGCATTACATAGAGTGCATTATAACAGTTATATAGAGTAGGACTATTTCAGTCACAAAGCAATTTCTTGTTCTCAATGAATAAGCTTAGTCATTACTTTGCAATTTGAATGATAAACATGGCATCTGCAAGTCATTAAAAGATGTGTGCTTCACTGAAAGGGAGGAAACCCACACCAGCAGGATCTCACAAATGCATAACAAATTTGCATGCAGTAAAATTAAATGCTTGCTGCTTTCAATTGCATGTCTATTACTTGATTACTGGTTAAAATATCTGCAAGACAACTTAATTAACAGCATAATTATAATAACAGCCATTTACATGCATTTATGCACATATCCACCAAACAGAACATACACCGATCAAGCATAACATTATGACCTTGTTTCTGCACTCATTGTCCATTTTATCAGCTCCACTTACTATACAGGAGCACTTTGTAGTTCTACAGTTACAGACTGTAGTCCATCTGTTTCTCTGCATACTTTGTTAGCCCCCTTTTACTCTGTGCTTCAGTGGTCAGGACCCCCATGGACCCTCACAGAGCAGGTACTATTTGGGTGGTGGATCATTCTCAGCACTGCAGTGACACTGACGTGGTGGTGGTGTGTTACTGTGTGTTGTGCTGGTCTGAGTGGATCAGACACAGCAGTGCTGCTGGAGTTTTTAAACACCTCAGTGTCACTGCTGGACTGAGAATAGTCCACCAACAACGTCCTGTGGGCAGCGTCCTGTGACCACTGATGAACGACTAGAGGATGACCAACACAAACTGTGCAGCAGCAGATGAGCTACCGTCTCTGACTTTACATCTACAAGGTGGACGGACAAGGTAGAAGTGTCTAATAGAGTGGAAGGTGAGTGGACACTGCTGTGTCTGATCCACTCGTACCAGCGCAACACACTCTAACACACCACCACCACGTCAGTGTTACTGCAGTGCTGAGAATGATCCACCACCCAAATAGTACCTGCTCTGTGAGGGTACATAGGGGTCCTGACCACTGAAGAACAGGGTAACAAAGTATCAGAGAAACAGATGGACTACAGTCTGTAACTGTAGAACTACGAAGTGCACCTATATAGTAAGTGGAGCTGATAAAATGGACAATGAGAGTAGAAACAAGGAGGTGGTCTTAATCTTTAATATTACAAGTATTAATAATACCTTATTAATTTTTTTTCCAGAACTTTGAGCTCAGGTAGGAACATATGGACCAAATGAAATGTGACCCTTTAAATATGGACATTAGTGTGTAGATCTGTGGTCCTCACACCTCGATGACCCCTCAATTAATCATTAATAATCCTCTTTTTCAGCCGGACTGCGGGTTTGTGCGGAATTCTGAGCCCGTTTATCCTCAAAGCTGAAGTCAGCTTCTTGTTCTAATGGTCTCGTTCCACCTTAAATGGTGCAGCGACTCCATTTAAGGTGGAACGTTAGGTTACCCAAGTTAATATGCGAACACAAAGCCGGCTGTGCGTTTATGCGCCGTTTTTTGCGCAGCGAGGTCGCAAAGTCGAGCCGTATCTGTGCGGTCTGTTTAGCGTGAGCGCGGAAAAACGCGCACGAAACCAATTTCTTACCTTTAAAAACTAAAAACAGACGCAAACGATTCAGCCTTTTCAGCCCAAACAGATAAAAACACACACGGTGGTCCGCCTTGATGACGTCACCAAGCCTGCGCCGGACACTCGTCCTGCTGCAGCGTCTGTACGATTAACATTATTATGATTTTATGTAAGTTTTCATCGAATTACTTTAGTATTTTAATGAAATGAGTGACGTTACTCACGGGTTTAATTCCCTATGTACATCTGCATGTAGCACACGGTGCTTCAAAGCACATTTAAAAGGGGAACCACACCGAATTTTCAAAATTTCTGCATTACGTTTAGGTTAAGACGTAAACAGAGTCATTAGCTGCGTTACCGGGTCGGAACTGTTCACAGTGGTGGTGATAGGAACCAGACGTCCACCTCGAAAAGCTCAAAAAAAACCCTCACAGAGAGTTATTACATCAAATGAGTTCACTGCCTGAGACACTGAGTGTGTTTACATGCAATTAATAATAATAACTGCAGAAAATCAGTTTGTCAATAATCCAGTCAACGCGTTTGTGTACTTGAGAGATCAGATAATTTAGTGTGTGTTTACTTATGATTAGTGTGTTGATCTGTGGTCCTCACACCTTGATGACCCCTCAATTAATCATTAATAATCCTCTTTTTCAGCCGGACTGCGGGTTTGTGCCCGTTTATCCTCAGAGCTGAAGTCAGCTTCTTATTCTAATGTTCTCGTTCCACCTTAAATGGTGCGGCAATTTCATTTAAGGTGGAACGGTAGGTTGGCCAAGTTATCCTAATGCGTGACCACGACTTAGCAAGATGTGGGAATGAGATGATTAAGTCGTGGCCATGACTTAAGGCGTAGGAACGAGATCACAGCTTACTAAGTCATGGCCACGCATTAGGATCTCGTTCCCACGCTTTACTAAGTCATGGACGTTAGTGTGTAAATCTGTGGTCCTCACACCTTGATGTCCCCTCATACATACATACATACATACATACATCATCTAAACCGCTTATCCTTCTGGGTCGCGGTGGGGTGCTGGAGCCTATCCCAGCTGTCATTGGGCGGAAGGCAGGATACACCCTGGACAGGTCGCCAGTCCATCGCAGGGCGATGTCCCCTCAATTAATCATTAATAATCCTTTAATCATCTAGACTTAATTATCTCATTCCCACGCCTTACTAAGTCATGGCAACGCATTATTTTTATTTATACAGGATGTCACCAGCGTGGCTCCGTAGTGTTTTGCTGCGTCTTGTGGCAACACTTCTCGCTTATTTCCAGTACCGCTGTCCGTTTTCGCACATGCTCAGACTGAGAAATCGGAAAGAAATCAGAGTAAGAGTCACATGCACTGAGAAATCAGATTACTGAGCTAAAATCCAGCTCTCTTTATCAGATTTCTTACTCGGATTTCTAGATTGGAGTATGGTGTTTACATGACCATTTGAATAATCAGATTTCTAGATCGGAGTATGGTGTTTACATGACCATTTGAATAATCAGATAACTGCAGAAATCCGATTATGATCGGATTTTTTAGTGTAAACATGTAAACGCACTCATAGTTTTATTTTCTAGCCTTTTCCAGAAGCACCTGATCTTTTAGCAGGAAAACATCTCTGTTGTTTCCTCTTTGTGATTTCATAATAAAACATTTACAAAATATTTAGAATGGTGTCCAACTGGGTTCCACCATGAAGGTGAGCATCACTGGGAGGTTTATGAATCTGAAACGTGTTTGTGATGACGTGTCACAGTGATGCAGACGGATGAACGATGTGAGAGAAAGTGGAGGCAGAGTTAATGCACACATCAACATTTATTTTCCTTTTTTTACTTTGCAAATTGGCTTAAAACCTTTTCTTTTTCTGTTTTTCTTCAATTTCTTGTCAAAACCGGCCGACTGGACCTGTAAAAAAGGATATAAGCACATTCAGTCAGAGGATAAAAAAAAATTAAATTACTTTTTAAATTGGAATTCCATCTATTTTTCAAAATTTCTGTAAAATTCAATTGTTGAAATGTAAAAACGACCATTCAGAGTGGTCTGAAATGGTTAAATGGACAGAAACTTAACTCTGATTTCTTACAGTGGTGGTGATAGGAACCAGGGGTCACCATGACTACAACACAAATATAGCCATTTTATTTACTGTCCAAAACCACCATCTTCAGAGTTTTTAATACATAACATTGATGATGGTAAAATAGGGGTAAATTTAAGGAAAAAATACGTTTTCTTTGGGGATTTTTTTTTTGCCTTACAACACCTTTCATGTGCCTCTCTGTCATAAAATGATATGCATGTATATTTCGCTGCTGTCGGAACAAAAACTTGTACCTCCATTTTTGTCAATTTTCAGTTTTTGGGCTGATTTGAAAATGCCTGCTGCGCTTTACATTGTCTGTAAATTTCATTAAGAATGGACCAAAAGAAACGACCCAAAAATACTTGGAACTAAGTAAATAAATAAGTAAAAATAATAAATAATAAGAGTGTATTTCAGGCATCAAGCAACTTGACGTAATAACTTTCCATCAAGAAATTTTTAGAGGAAGCCACCCTGAATGACCTTATTTACATCTTTACTGTTTACATGTGCAGAAATTCTGAAAAATCTGTGGAATTCCCCTTTACCTGTAGACTTTTAGAGTTGCATTCTATAGTACTGTTAGCTGACCTTTCTGCGTTTCTGTGATGTTTGTTTTTCCTCTTCCATTTCCGTGATCTCCATATCGTCCTCATCCGTTTGGAAGTCATCGTCATCTTCCTCCATTCCTCCTTGTTCCTCTGACTTCTTTAGAGTGAACATAGAGGCTGTGGAGAACACAGAGGGGGTTATTTTTACACGGGGTGACGGAGCAAAAGGTAAAATAAACACGTCATAATTCTATGAAAAGTAACTGTAACCATCTGAAATGCTCACTAAAAATCTAAGCACAAAGGAACAGCAATCATACGTTCTGCAGTTATGAGCAGCAGTCGTGATCCATCGATCTGAGGGTGGCGATTCAGACGCACTGATTTGTGAATGATAGAATTGATTATAATAATTGATTATAATAATATTAAATAAAGTTTGGGGTATTTTTTTTGCCAAAATAAAATTCTTAGACTATTCTCAAATGTTAAAAGAAGGTCCTGCTGAATCTATTTTTTTAGTCTAAACTGTGACAAAAATCACATCAAATCATGGTGAAAGTTGAGAGTTCATGATGCACCGAAAGGTTTTCTAACAAATCGCGATCAAACAATCATTATGATGCCAGAAATTTCAATAGAGTCTGGCTGCAGACGTGCAACCTCAGCCAGACGCACTCTGAGCCAGACGCACTCTGAGCCAGACGCACTCTCAGCCCCAGTGACGTCACGTGCACACGCACTCTCTGCCACAACGGCAGAAGCAGCCCAACGGCACGGGAACTTTTGGCTGCTGCTGCTTAGCAACATCATCACTTAATCCATTTTTCGGCCATAACACGGCGAGAGAGTTACATTTAATGTACCTCCCTGTTGAAAAAAAAAAATCACACAACCCATTAAAAGTGTCTGTTGGTTCCTGTTGGTTTTCAGTAGGGTATTCTGTGTTTTCCTGATGGGTTGATACCACAGTTTGAAGTCTGATCATTTAATCAGGTGTTCTGGGACTGTTTCCAGATATATTCGATAATTTCCTAATGGTCTCTAACGGCCACCATCAAGCCAATTCCCGCTAGGAAGCAAAACCATCAGGTTTTATTCCTAACGGCGCTGCAAACACAGTTACCCTACGTTGTGACAACGTACTGTTTTGGTGCCCACTGCGTCGTCTGCTGGTTGTCACAACCTCCTAGAATCCTTAATACGTTCTATTTTAATCAATATTACAGTTTCTGATAAGCGGTTCTTCGTCTTCAACCTGGCTTTCACTACTTTTAGCAGTAGTTTTATTTTTTCTGAGAATAAACCCGACACTCATGTCTTATCGTCGTGGTTTTACTGTGAAAGTTTCCACATTTAATTACCTTATTATCAGTATGACAACATTAATATATGTTCAGTGTGGCTCTTGTTGCCCAGCAGTCCATGGTTCAATGTTTTTCCTCATAAAACCAACAAAAACACTGTGGTGGCAGAGCGGCGCTGACGTCATCAATAGGCTGGCGATGGATGTCAGGCTGAGAGTGCGTGTCTGCAGCCAGACCCTTCTCAGAAATCTACCCTAAAAACAAAGTGATGATTGAGTCTGTGGATCAAATGACAGACAGTCCAGTCTCTTTAGAAGAGGACGGGGTCATAAAGTGATCTAAAACAGCTCAGATGTGCCTTTATGTTTGACTGAAATCAGCCCGAAATGAATAGAAGTGAATGGAGAGCTTCTCTCAAAAGCTCCTCTTGTGCCTGAGCAGCTCACTTCCATTAACGGGCTTTGGAAGGCAAAAGCTGGGGGCCAGAGTCCAAGTCAAGCTGCGAGTCGCTCAACAAGAGGCTCTAGTCTCCAGCTCTGTTCAGAATAACAGGCATGAATGGTCAGCATGCTCACGTGGATAGAGGTCTGACATGCTGTCGTCCGTGTCGCTGTCCTCCTCTCCGCTGGAGCTGGGGGCCCAGATGCCGCTGTCCTGCTTCTGCTTCTGCTTCTGGGTGTGTCTTTCATTTGAGCTCTCCATGCCGTCATCTGTGTCTTTGGGCCGTTTTCTCTGCCTGAGCTTGGCTGGAACAAACTTCACGCCTTGCTTCACACACTCCTCATCTGAAATGAGAGACAGCAGAGTCGTGATGTTACTGTTCAGCTGCTGTAATAGACAGATCTGAATTTTAGGCTTGAGCTAGAGGAAAAATATACATTATATCCTCAGGTTTCAGTCATGTGATTTGTCTGTCATAGCCGTAATATTTGGAACTAAATTTCTGGCTTCGCCGCTCTCCTAAAATTACTCTCCTTATTTTGGAAGAGAAAAACATGACCTCGGCAAAGTCGATAAAATAGTCTGAGATCCTTATACAGTTTCCCCTGAACTCCTGATCCCACTTAAACTGGTGGAAAGCTACCAAATCTCATACTCAGCCCCTCTCTCTATTCTGGAGTCTCTCAGAACATTTAAAAGCACAGAAGCCCACCGGCGCTTCACGTCAGGGTGGGTAAAGGATCCCATGGTGCTGCATAAAGAGGAGAAACACTCTGTCATCATAGGAGGGTAACGACATCAGCTAATTAACACAGATGTGATCAATGCTGGCCTTTAGATAACTTTAGCTGATGTTAACAGCCGAGAGATGAACAGTCGTCCCCCTAACGGAGCTGCAGACCGCCGGTATAACTTTACTCTCTGTTTCTGATTTAAATGACGTTTGAATGGAGAAACATAAACGTTAAATATCAGACTGAATGTCGTGGGTCGGAAAACTATGTTGTGTTTCGACAGACGTGATTCTGTAAGTTTGCTGGTTCAGTTAGTTCAGAGTTCAGCTCCAGTCCTGAAACCCCTGCACTGCATAACTGTGGTTTCCTGGTTAAAATCCCTGATATTATTAGCTAATTAATCCCTTCTTGAGCTGAACGAGGTGAACAGCAGAGAAACACTAAACTGTACAGTGCAGCGGCTCCAAGCCTGGAGTGAAAACACTGAATTAAAGGTCTGTGTGTCTCTCGGCTTCTGTGTTCCATAGTAGGTCCATTCAGAGCCGGTTTATGAGGAACCTGGCCGCTTCCTATTTCCCCCGTTATATCAAAAACAGGACTGCTAAACAGCAGAGGGCGCCCATGAGTGAGTCCTCAGTGAATGGGAGTGACTGGAGCTTAACGGCTAAAAACAAAAAGTTAAAAGTGTTTCTAATCACTGAACCAGAACTTTCCTTTAGTTTTAGAAAGTAGAAGGATGGATTTCACTAAAACAGCAAAGAAAACTCACCTGTTTGTTTCCTTTATTCTACAGCAAACGGGTTTTGGGCAGCAGGACGCTAACATTACTGCTACTGAGTGCTGATTGGTTGGCGAGCGGAGAAGCTCATTGGCTGTTTGCGCTCACTGACGTAATGAACGAACATGAGGCGCCGTTTTAAACTCCTATAACTCGAGTTTAAAAGCTCTTAAAAATATAACAGCAGTGTTAAGATGTTTTATGCTGTTCTGTGTTCAGGATTTGATTGTATTCTTTTACATTAAAAATGTTTAAGCATTTATAAACTATGATTTTGCTCAAATGCTCCATCTTAACCCATTCCTTTTGAACTCACTCAGGAGCGCCCTCTAGTGTTTGAGAAACCCAGAAGTCATTACAGAGTGGTGATTCTCCTCTCTACAAGTTCTCTGGTACTTTATTACAGCATCCTCCACTGTCGCCATGTTTGTTGCTGTCAGAAACTCTGACTCTGGACTGCCCTCTAATGGACGTACTGCTTAACCTCCATGTCGTGAAGGATGCATGGAGGCCTGTGGGCAGTGACAGGTAGACCGTTTAAAACAGATGTATTTATTTTCAGACGTAAAGGGAGAATAAATGAGGCTTTAGAAAGTACAACAAAGACCCAGTCAGTTTAATTCTGAGGGATAAACAGAGGTCGGAGAAATGGTCATGTAACTTTGACTGTTTTTAACCACCCAGTGAGGAAAAAAAAAAAAGAAAAAAAGTGCAGAATGAGCTTTTTGATGTTGGATTATTATAACAGTGTTATAGAGTGGTACTTACATTGCGCTAGAGCTTTCTTGAATCGCTTTCCATTAACATGCCGGAGGACATGGTGAGGCATGCGATTGATGTGTCTCACGGTCAGCTTGCAAAAAAGGTGATTTCTGTGGTGAAAGAAAATTAAATGTTTTCATAAACAGCAGATTAACAAAAGCTGAGATTCGGTAATTCAGTGCTTTTACAGGACACTTGGAAATCAGTTTGGGTGTAATATGTTGTCTAAAGCTGTTTCCATCCACTTTCTGCACAAACTGCAATTTTTGAGTTTAAATGAAAATGCATTTAAAAAACTGTTCGTTTGTAACGACGTCATTTTCTGCAAAAATACTATTTGTGCACAGTTTTTGGTTTATCAATAAAACAAGTAAGTGTTTTGTTTGACTGTGTGTGTATATATATATATATATATATATATATATATATATATATATATATGTGTGTGTGTATGCATGTGTGTGTTTTTTTAATTTTCACAAATTCTCCCCAATTTAGTCGTATCCAGTTTCACCCACTAGTTAGATCAGGGGTCGGCAACATGTGGCTCCGGCTCTTTTACTGCCCTGTTGTGGCTCCAAATAAAGCTCTGCTGATCGTTCAACACAGTTTAATAATAAATGGTCTTAAACTCTGGAGTTAATGTAGAACTGCTGATTCACCCTTTAACCCTGAAGGTTGGTGCACAGACTGCTGGACACCATAGCAACGGCAACAATCTCACCTAGATAGTAGCTCACGAAACGGCAAAGAGAAAGATTTAAGACGACCATTGATAATTTAGAGACGAATGGACTTATTTGCCTTCATAATCACTCCAGCTGGTTTCCTGATACGTTTAATCTGCAACGAGAAACTCAAACACTAAAAAGTCGTGAAGTCAGTTTGGAGGAACAGTTAGCTACACAGTTAGCTACCTTCTGGCGTCTCAGGCACCACTTAAGGTGGAACAGGAAAATTCAAACAAGCAGCTGGCGGATAAGAAGCGACTTCAGCCTCGTAAAAAGCCGAACGTTGAGAGACATTTTAGAAGAAACGGTTCCACTTCTGAGGAAAAGTTTCCTGCTGGAGATGTGAGAAAAGCGGCTACAGCTGAACTAAAGCTTAAAGCAGAGCAAAGTAAATCTGTGTTTTCATTTATATTATATTTTTATTCTATAGTAGCACATCAGCACATACTGAGACATATTTACAGCCAAGATGGTGAAACGTTACTTCAGTAAAATGGACATGAAATGTTGAGGCTCCCAAGCTGGTTAGATTTTTATTGAAACTTGACTAAATGGCTCTTCTTAACATTTGGGTCGCTGACTCCTGAGTTAGGACTCCCCCAATCACACGGTACCACCAGCGCTAGGAGGGCAAAGGCAAACACAGCCTTCCTCCGAGTTCTGTGAAGCACCAACGCATCTTTTCAAACTGCCATTGGACAGTTGAACGCGCTCAGAAGAGACACTAATCAGCTCTGTTACGTCAGCTAATAGACGCCTACGCTGGCTAGCATCACGCTGAGTGATGTGGGGGGAGACGGGGGGCCATCCTACCCACCCAGACAGAGAGAGCGAGATCAATTGTGCTCTCTTGCACTCCTGGCCACAGATGGCTGTAGCATCAATGCTTAGATGGCTGCACTACCTGGGAGCCCCTGCAAACTTTAGAAAATGTTAAAACTATTTGCAAAAGAATTTTTCAGATGGAAACACAGTTCATGAGTTGACCTAAATAAAATGTCATGATTTTGTCAGGTTGAAGACATGCGGCCTTCTCTTATCACCGCTATGCTGATGACACTCAACTATTGCTTTCCTTCTCACCTTCTGACGCACAGGTTTCCAGCCGCATCTCGGCATGTCTGACTGACATCTCTTCATGGACGGCAGCTCAGCACCTGAAGCTCAATCCTAGCAAGACTGAGCTGCTACTCATCCCTGCAACCACAGGTCCTCATTACAATCTTGCCCTCTCATTCGAGAACTCTCTGACTGTTTTGTCTGCAGAGGCAAGAAGTCTTGGTGTGCCAGTTATCGTTCTCGGCTCATATCGCGAACCCAACTCGGTCATGCAGGCTTCTCCTGTATAACATCCAGAGGATCTGACCCTTTCTCACTCGAGAGGCCACCCAGGTGCTCGTTCAGTCTCTTGTCATCTCAAAGCTCGACTACTGTAACTCGCTCTTGGCTGGTCTTCGTATGCGGCCATCAAGCATCTGCAACTCATCCAGAATGCAGCAGAATGGCTCGTCTTCGCTCTCGCTAAGTCAGTCACGTCACTCCCTTCACTGACTTCCTGTAGCTGCATGCATCAAATTTCCTGTAGCTGCATGCATCAAATTTAAAACCCTGATGCCTACAAAACCAAAAATGGACCAGCCCCTCCCTACCTGACGGCAAAGGTCAAAACTCGAACTGTAACTTGAGCCATTCGAGCTTTGAGTACAGCTCGGCTTCACCCGCCATCCTTCAAGATGTGTGGAAGACAAGCATTAAGACTGTTCTCTGTGCTGGCACCCAGGTGGTGGAATGAACTCCCACTGGCTGTCCGAACAGCAGAGTCTTTCGCTGTCTTCAAACGCAGACTGAGGACCATCTCTTTATACAGCACTTAAATGAGCACTGAGTTAAGTATTTATTGTAATGTATTGTACTTATTGAAATGTAGTGAAACGCATTGTATTGCACTGCGCTGTGTTTAACTCTATTCCTTTTTCTCTGGGTATCAACAGGGACTTTTTGTTTCTAGCAGTATCTGAGCTCAGGACTGGCTTTCTCTCTCTAACCTATTGGTAACTAGCAAAGATACTTTCTCCAGATAGACAAAGCACTTTCTGTAAGTCGCTCTGGATAAGAGCGTCTGCTAAATGTTGTAAAAGTAAATGTAACTTCTCATGGTGTTTAAACTTACGGCTCTTTCGTGCTCGGGACCAGATGTGGCTCATACTGGCTGTAATTGAACTCTGCGCCCGCACACAGTTTCTTGAACTTATTCCCAGATGTGAATTTCTGCAGCTCTGCAAGGTTGCAAGGGAACTCGTGGCCATTCAGTGAGCACTTGATCTAAAAGAAGAAAACAAAGCGTTTTTTAGACATTGAACCACTCCGGGAACACATGAACGTAAACATTGGTGGGTCATTCTCAGCACTGCAGTAACACTGAGGTGGTGGTGGTGTGTTAGTGTGTGTTGCTCTGGTCTGAGTGGATCAGACACAGCAGTGCTGCTGGAGTTTTTAAACACCTCAGTGTCACTGCTGGACTGAGAAGAGTCCACCAACCAAAAATATCCAGCCAACAGCGTCCTGTGACCACTGATGAAGGACTAGAGGATGACCAACACAGACTGTGCGGCAGCAGATGAGCTATCGTCTCTGACTTTACATCTACAAGGTGGACCAACAAGGTAGGAGTGTCTAATAGAGTGGACAGTGAGTGGACACAGTGTTTAAAAACTCCAGCAGCACTGCTGTGTCTGATCCACTCGTACCAGCACAACACACACTAACACACCACCACCACATCAGTGTTACTGCAGTGCTGAGAATGATCCACCACCCAAATAGTCTGTGAGGGTCCATTGGGGTCCTGAGCACTGAAGAACAGGGTAAAAGGGGGCTAACAAAGTATGCAGAGAAACAGATGGACTACAGTCTGTAACTGTAGAACTACAAAGTGCTCCTATACAGTAAGTGGAGCTGAGAGTTTAGACCAGCCCACTCACTCTGAAGTTATAAGGAGTGTTTCATCCCAGGCTGCTTTATGAATGAGGCACAACACAGGACAGCCAATCAGAACAGAGCGCATTTAGATACATCAGTCTTAAAGGAAACAGCCTGTTTTATTCTAACTGATAAAGGTGGGTAGGTAAAGATGAATACGACAGTTTTGGTAAATAAACTATAAATAATGTAAGTTACGTCTGTCTATCTGTCTGTTTTTCAGTACTATAATCTTGAGCGGTTTACGTTCAGGTCTGTACGGAGCCCCACTGATGACATCCTGGATAAATAAAAATAATGTGTGGCCACGACTTAGTAAGGCATAGGAATGAGATGATTAAATCTCGGCCATGACTTAGTAAAGTGTGAGAACGAGATCCTAATGCGTCGCCATGACTTGGTAAAGCGTGGGAACGAGATCCTAATGCGTCGCCATGACTTGGTAAAGCGTGGGAACTAGATCCTAATGCGAAGCCACGACTTAGTAAGGCGTGGGAACGAGATCCTAATGCGTGGCCATGACTTAGTAAGGCATGGGAACTAGATCCTAATGCGAAGCCACGACTTAGTAAGGCGTGGGAACGAGATGATTAAGTCGTGGCCATGACTTAGTAAGGTGTGGGAACGAGATCACGGCTTACCAAGTTGTGGCCACGTTAGGATCTCGTTCCCACGCTTTACCAAGTCATGGCCACGTATTATTTTTATTTTTACAGGCTCGGTAGGTCTGTGCACGAAGCTGAAGTGGCTTCTTGTTCGAACTCCCCCGGTCCACCTTAAACGGTGCAGCAGATACATTCAGTTCCAGTTGGCGAATAGGAAGCCGACCTCAGCCTCGTAGTTGAGGTTAATCAGAAGCAGTAAAGCACCTTCTTGCCCTCGGTGAGCTGCAGGAAAGGCTGGCTGAGGAGAAAGTCTCTGAGCTCTGCTGGCAGCTCCTCCATCAGGGCAGATCTGGGGCTGCTGCTGGATTCGCTCCTCCACGTGGAAAAACCTCGTGTTCCTCACTGGAGACCGAGCTGAGCACCAAAACCGCGGCTATGAAACACAACACGACACGCCAGCTCACACTCAACCGCCCACACCAAACCACCCCACAGCGTTTAAACGGACAGGTTTAACGACGAAGTCCGGCTGCGTCTCCGAGCGTTTGTGATCAAAGTCGGCCCGAGTCTGTTTGACGCGCCCATGACGTCACGACACGGGCCCTCAACTCAGTCAGGCGACCTCAACAGCGCCTGTGGGTGAAAATGAAACGAGATCAAATAAAATAAAAATAAAATACAGCATTGCTGTTTTCCGCGTTAAGCTTTTGGTTCAGTAATATTAAAATAATAAATTATGGTATAATATAATAAAATAGCGTATTTTCACGAGCAATTCGGTTTAATAAAAATAAAGTAATAAAATAACGTAAACTGAACTAAAACATTATACAAAATAATGTAGTTTCGCGTGCCATTCAGTTCAGTGAGCTATAAAGTAATAGAGTAATAAAATAACATAAACTGATCTAACCCAGACTAAAATAAACTAACCTAATATTTAATATATATATATATATATATATATATATATATATATATATATATATATATATATATATATATATACACACACATATATATATATATATATATATATATATATATATATATATATATATATATATAGACTGCATGGATTCCCATGTTGATGTCTTTCCAGTGCTGCGTGCCATTTGATTCACTCATAATAAAGAAAAACAAAACAAAGTAAAATAAAATAAAGTACGTTTGAGTTGCTGTACAGGTTAATGTTTTTTTTTTTCCATAATGAATGATTTGGTTCATTAATAATAAAATAAAAAAAATAAATTAGATCAAATCGTTAAATAATGCAAAATAAAATATTTTTTTCCCAATATTGGTACATTAGAAATAAAACAATACGCTGAAGCAAAAATAAGTTACATAATAAAAGTCTTTTTTAATTAAAAAAAAAAGTTACTACAGATTGTGGTAAACGCTATTTTATTCCATCAGTGATTAAATAATAAAATGAGTAACAAAATAAAAGAAAAAAAGATTAAACCAAAGGTAACACTATTACAAACATAGCTAAAAAAAATAAATAAATAAAAATTAAAAATAGAAAAAAAAAAATAATAAAAAAAATAAAAAAAAACAAATAAAAAACAAATAAAAAATAAATAATAATAAAAAAAATTAGCTCGGCGTATTTCGCCGACAACAAACGCAGCGGAAGTGTGCAGTGTTATGATCCGGCACAGACTGAAGGGCCTGCGGTCAGTCAGCTGACCGGTGCTGTCTGCTGGCCGCACGAAACAGCGTCTTAAATCGGGTCTAATTTTAATCGCTGTGGTTTTAAATGCGGGTTGTCTGTTTGATGTGATAAAGCCGTTCTGTTGCTTTCATTCAGCTCCAGTTAACGGCAGTTTTATTAGGCTGTCCGGTTTATATTGATAACAAACTGCCTGCTGGTCTGAGATGAAAATGTCCGGACCGAACGGAGATCCGAACCTCTCAGAGGATGATGGGCTCATTAACGACGAGGAGGACTTTAATGAGGAGGGTGAGTCCGGGAGTTCGGCCAGACAGCACACAAGACCATAAGATCTACGAGGCTTCCATATTCGCCAACGTCTTGTTGGAATTTCCCCGTTCCACCTTAAATGTGCAGCAGTAACATACAACTGATTCACCATTTAAGGTGGAACGGGAAAATTCGGACAAGAAGTTGGAGAATAAGGACACGTAAGCTTCATTTAATGTCTCTACACCCTTAAAGATGGTTCTTCAAGGGTTCCTTAGGAAAGGCTCTGGTTCTCTTTAGAACCTCGAGTCCTACATGGAACCATTTCATTCTTGAATGGTTGTATAGCTGGTGAACTTTTCTTCAGATTGATGGAGAATGTTTTGTATGGTTCTGTATAGAACCTTTTTGAGTGGTTCTGTGTAGCACCAAAAAGACCATAAGATATACGAGGCTTCCTCATTCGGCAACTTCTTGTTGGAATTTCCCCATTCCACCTTAAACGGTGCAGCAGTAACATATAACTGATTCACCATTTAAGGTAGAACGGGAAAATTCCAACATGAAGCTGGCGAATAAGACTTAAGCTTCATTTAATTTCTCCACACTCTTAAAGATGGTTCTTCAAAGGTTCCCTAGGAAAGGCACTGGTTCTGTTTAGAACCTCGAGTCCTATGTGGAACCATTTTAAGCTTGAATGGATGTATAGCTGGTGAAGTCTTCTTCAGATTGATGGAGAATGTGTTTTGTATGGTTCTGTATAGAACCTTTTTGAAAATGGTTCTGTGTAGCACCAAAAAGACCATAAGATCTACGAGGCTGAAGTTGGCTTCTTTATTCGCCAGCTTCTTGTTGGAATTTCCCCGTTCCACCTTAAATGGTGCAGCAGTGACATGTAACTGATTTCGGTTTCATATGGTATCTCTACACTGATGAAGATGGTTCTTCAAGGGTTCCTTAAGAAAAAGCACTTGTTCTATATGGAACCATTGCATGCCTGAATGGTTCTTAAAATGGTGAAATCGTTCTTCAGATTGATGGAGAATGTGTTTTATGAGGTTCTGTATAGAACCAGTGCATCATGGGTGTTGTAGTTTTTGGGTTCCAATGAAACAAAGTCAGTCTGTATCCTATACACTAATGAGGCATAACATTCTGACCACCTCCTTGTTTCTACGCTCATTGTCCATTTTTTCAGCTCCACTTACTGTATAGGTGCACTTTGTAGTTCTACAGTTACAGACTGTAGTCCATCTGTTTCTCTGTGTACTTTGTTACCCTGTTCTTCAGCAGTCAGGACCCCCATGGACCCTCACAGAGCAGGTACTATTTGGGTGGTGGATCATTCTCAGCACTGCAGTAACACTGATGTGGTGGTGGTGTGTTAGTGTGTGTTGCGCTGGTCTGAGTGGATCAGACACAGCAGTGCTGCTGGAGTTTTTAAACACCTCAGTGTCACTGCTGGACTGAGAATAGTCCACCAACCAAAAATATCCAGCCAACAGCGTCCTGTGGGCAGCGTCCTGTGACCACTGATGAAGGACTAGAGGATGACCAACACAAACTGTGCAGCAGCAGATGAGCTATCGTCTCTGACTTTACATCTACAAGGTGGACTGACAAGGTAGGAGTGTCTAACAGAGTGGACAGTGAGTGGACACAGTGTTTAAAAATTCCAGCAGCACTGCTGTGTCTGATCCACTCAGACCAGCACAACACACACTAACACACCACCACCACATCAGTGTTACTGCAGTGCTGAGAATGATCCACCACCCAAATAGTACCTGCTCTGTGAGGGTCCATGGGGGTCCTGACTGCTGAAGAACAGGGTAACAAAGTACACAGAGAAACAGATGGACTACAGTCTGTAACTGTAGAACTACAAAGTGCACCTATATAGTAAGTGGAGCTGAAAAAATGGACAATGAGCGTAGAAATGAGGAGGTGGTCAGAATGTTATGCCTGATCGGTGTATAAACACAGAAGCACTCAGCACTGTTTTTTTCTTTCTTTAACACCAGAATACGCAGCCATCAACTCCATGCTGGACCAGATCAACTCGTGTCTGGATGACCTGGAGGAGCGCAACGATGCTCTGAACGGAAAACTGCACGAACTGCTGGAGTCCAACCGGCAGGCCAGGCAGGAGTTTCGGGCTCAGCTGAACGAGAGAGACCAGAAGGACCAGAAACGGCCCCCACCTCCCCCTCCCTCTAACGAAGACTCACCACCCAGTCAGGCGTGATAGAGTGGACATTACAGAATAGCTGTATTTTGCTGTCTTGAACCCCTGCTGTACGGTAGAACTGATCAGGCCTCAGTCCTCCTTTGCACGATATCTCTTAGATCTCCAGTCCTGTAGTCCAGCTGCACTGTACATTTGTTTTCTTGTGGTCATTGGGTCCCAGATGGTGCCCTAAGCCAGCTTAGTCATCGCTTAGCAGAGGTCAACAGCGTGCAGCCCTATAAGGCACAAGTTTCCCACCCTGGTTCTGATGTACATATTCTATTGTGGGAGATCAAGTCCCCAAAATGAGAAACAGGACATCTTTCAGCCTCGCATTCCTTGCAGACAAGCACAAATGGGGGCTGCAGGTCTTATAATGCTGCTGTTGGAACAAAACCCAGTATCTCCAAAATGGTAACTTTACAGGAGAAGGAAAAAACCTACTTTACTTTTAATGTAAGTCAATGGAACCAGAATTTTTTCCAAGTCATTTGGGGCCGTTTACTTTGGTCCATTTATCATGAAATTTCTACACAGTGTAAAGAGCAACAGGCATTTTCAAAATATGTCAAAAACTGAAAAATGACAAAAATAGACATACGAGGTTTTGTCCCGACAGCAGCGATAATCAGGACAGCTAATGATCGTCATTCTTGAGCTGAATCTGAACTGTACAGTGCAGGTGGACTTGAGACTGCAGCTGGGAAACACTGCGCTCAGTGTACAGACAAACTCCTGATATTTATTTTTAACTTATGTGGATCATTCCGGGTGAATACTTCACGTAAAGAGAGAGTCTTTTAAGTCTGTAGACATCGTACATTGTACCTAGAGAGTACACATAGGTTGTGTCTCATTACCACCCTTAACTGTTGTGTGTGGCTTCTTTGTCTTATTACATAAAAACAGTCAAAAACAAAAGATAATCATCAAATATTTTAATAGACATTAAAATGACTCAAATGCAGAAAAAACAAACGTCAGAAAAAAAAAAATACATGGTACTTCCAGCTGCTATAAAACAACTTTTTTTTGAGATCTATTCCTTTTTTTGTCATTTGTAGAATAAAAATAGATTATGAAATGTACATTTTTCCATTCTGGTGTCTTGCTGTATTGCTGTGGTCCTGGAGGTAGGACTCAAAACTCTACACATTTCCACAGCATGATAGCTTGCCTTAATCCCCAATTCCTCACTTGTTAACGTTCATGATCATCTGTTAACAAAGGACCACAATGTTTTTTTTTCCTTGACGAAAAAGTAATATTAATTTAAGGTGTACATTTATTGTTCACGCGTTTTCTGCTATAGCTACAGCTTCTGCTGACGTACGGCTTCGAAAACCGGCCTGAAAATACTGTAAAGGAGGTCGTCGGCTTGACTGTTACCAAACAAAACATTCAGAAATGAGCCGCGGGGACAGAATTAAGCAGTTGAGACACACTCATGAGCTCAAAGTGACTAATACTGTGTACGGCACTTGACGTTCATGAGGACTTCTGCAATTGCGGATGAGTAACACCACATTTGAGTAACTGCCTTATTTAAGTACACCTTAAATAGTCAGTCAGTAGTGATAAGTGTACTGACAGATGCTCAAGTCTACCGTCTATGGTTCAAATTAAACGACTCCGCCTACTTGTAGCAGGCAGACAGCGAGACAAGCTCTTTACTGGACTAAGTCTAAATCTGGAGGAACTTTTTTCACTGATCCCCTCTATGTTGTACATCAGTGATCCCCAAACCTCCCCGTGAAATCTACATTCCTACAGAGTGGATGATCTAGCGATGCTTTCATAGTGACTGTTGCTAGGTTGGGCAAGCTTGACAGAACAGGTTCCATTCAGAAAACCTCGTGTCTCCAAAATGGTAACTTTACAGGAGAAGGAAAAAACCTACTTTACTTTTAATGTAAGTCAATGGAACCAGATGTTTTTCCAAGTCATTTTGGGTCGTTTCTTTGGGTCCATTCATCATGAAATTTACATGCAACGTAAAGAGCAACAGGTATTTTCAAAATATGTCAAAAACTGAAAAACGACCAAAATGGAGATACAAGGTTTTTTCCCAACAGCAGCGATATGCTGCTGATTTTTATTCGCAATTTCGTCGAAGACTAGCCTTAATCCACGTTCTGGCCTTTAGTTTACCTCGTAAAGTCACTTAAAACATTAATGCAGGTCCATTTAAATGTCACAAATGCCCGAATAATCTGAATCTGCCTTTAAAGCTACGTTCACATTACAAGCCTCATTGCTCAAATCCGATCTCTCGGACATGATGGTTCACACTCGTTTAGGTAAGTGATTCAAATCTGTCATTAATGTGACGAACCGGCGTCCTGAAATGACCCTCATGAGCTCATCCTACTCAGTAACGTCACGTGAATGAATCACGTTCATCATCAGCACAAACTAACGAGCAGAACGAGCTTCGCTGAGAAGATAATTAACTCTGATCAGCTCTCAGCTTCATTATTAGAGCGAGACGAAGGAGAAAAAGGTGAGATGAGCTGCTTTTCCACCGTTTACAGGCTTTAACTTCTGTTCGGTGCTGCTGCCATGGTAACGCTGAATGATGGTCACGCGCACTGAAAAAAAAAGCACATGAATTCCGATCTGAGCGTCACGTTAAGGTCACATGACCACGAATCAGATACCGATCTAGAACCACATATGAAAGTGGCTCAGGTCGGATTTGAAAAGATCAGATTTGTGTCCACACAGCACTGAAAACATCAGATCTGAGTCATATTAGGACGAAAAATCGGATTTGTGCCACTTCAGCCTGGTAATGTGAACGTAGCCTAAGGCTTTGTTCACACAGCAGGTAAAAGTGGCCCAAATCTGATCTTTTTCTCCGTAAGTGAGACAGATGTGTCAGCGTGAACAGCTTTAAACACACTAAATCAGACATTTTCAATTCCGATTTGAGACGCTTTCATATGTGGTACTGAAATCTGATACGTATCCGATGCGGCAGTGCAACTCAGTCTGAACAGCCAGAGCAAAACACCTGTTGTGAGCTACACTGCGAAGTTCTGATCATACATCACCGTAGTCTGTAATGAAGAACTGGATGTGGTTTCAGCAGGTTGAGAGAAGTTTTGGGGATGTATTTACAGAAAAGATCTGGGTGACTATTGACTAGTGTTTATTAGCAACAGTAGCCTTGCAGCTCCACCGCCAAACTAAAGAAGCGAGACATGTAAACCTGGCTGAAGTGGAAAATTGTTTAAAATACATTTTTCACCATTCTTTTAACTTTAACAAGTTCCTTGTTGTTTCCAAACTGCCTAGTTTTGATTAAATAACCATTTCAGACTGGAAACTCGTCGTTACGTGGTGACTAAACTCCAACCTAAACAGGATTTAAAACGCTCTGTAAAAGTTTGTCCAAATTAGCAACAGTATCTGTGGGCAGAGAACGGTTAGGTCAACTTATTATTCAGTTAATAAATGCCTTCAGAAGTCCCTGATTATCCAGATCAGGGCTGTGATTAACCGTGAAATAGCTTCTCTACAGGAGGGTAAATGACCACTGCTGTACATGAACAGGACTCGCTTCGGACATCACAGTAAAAAGTCCTACATAAATTAATGAGAATGCCAACATGAGCTCACCATTTACATTGTGTCCTCATCCCTGAATTCAATCCTTCAGGAAATATACCACTACAGTTCACTTTGTAGTGCAGAAAAAAGGATAAATTATGCTTTCTGATGCATCTTTCGCACAAATTTGCCCCCACAGGGTGATGCGCCGCTTCACTATGCTTCAAAAGATGCTGGTTACTTAAGCCACTCCAATTGCTACATTTAGGGCCAATTTCAAAAACAGATCAAGTCTGAACCAGAACTAGAAAGAATTTTCAGTGGTGATTCACCACTGGAACTGCAATTGAGTCGAAGACTAGTCTTAATCCATGTTCTGACCTTTAGTTTACCCCTGTTTTTCATCGCAGCTGTGTCGTGTTTGTTCTTTGAATGCAGAATAATCTGAATTTGCCTTTAAGGCTACGTTCATATTACAGGCCTCACTGCTCAAATCCGATCTCTCTGACACGATGGTTCACACTCGTTTAGGTAAGTGACTCAAATCTGTCATTAATGTGACGAACCGGCGTCCTGAAATGACCCACATGACCTCATCCTACTCAGTAACGTCACGTGAACGAATCACTGCATCATCAGCACAAACTAACGAGCAGAACGAGCTTCGCTGAGAAGATAATTAACTCTGATCAGCTCTCAGCTTCATTATTAGAGCGAGACGAAGGAGAAAAAAGGTGAGATGAGCTGCTTTTCCACCGTTTACAGGCTTTAACTTCTGTTCAGCGCTGTTGCCATGGTAACGCTGAATGATGGCGCACGCACAGTGGAAAAAAAGCTCATGATTTCTGATCTGAGCGTCACATTAAGGTCACATGGCCACGAATCGGATACGTATCCGATCTAGGACCACACATGAAAGTGGCTCAGGTCGGATTTGAAAAGATCAGATTTGTGTCCACACAGCACTGAACACATCAGATCTGAGTCACATTAGGGCAAAAAATCAGATTTGTGCCACTTCAACCTGGTAATGTGAACGTAGCCTAAGGCTTTGTTCACAGAGCAGGTAAAAGTGGCCCAAATATGACCTTTTTCTTCATATGTGACACAGATTTGAGTCTGTGTTTCAGTGTGAACAGCAAAAAACACATTTAATCTGACATTTTCAATTCCAATTTGAGACGCTTTCATATGTGGTACTGAAATTCATGAATTCAAATTCAGAATTCATGCAGCTTTTACATCAATCCAGCTCTACGTTTGTCATAATTTTGCGCTGCTGAAACTCAAACATTTGGGCTGATATTTCTGTACAAAAAATTAGAAGAGACTGATCCAAAACCCTCCATGTTTGAAGGGATTTCGAAAGAAATGTCTGAACGCAGCCAGAGGAGAACGAGGCTGCAGCGTCAAAGAACCGTTTATTCTGAGTGATGAGCCCAGCTGTCAGTCAATAAAGCTTCATGATGGCTCCTGTGATGCTGATGAGGACGATGCTGATCCTCCGGGAGCGAATGGCGTTCGTTGGCCGTCGTGATTGTTTACCTCTGGATGAGCCGTAAAGCAACGTGATGCGTTGCTCTTTTGCTCATGTGGGTCAGTTTAGGAGCTGATCTGTTCAGACTGATGTGACACACAGATCACATTTAAAAGATAATGTGAACAGCCAAACAAAAAAATCTGATTCGGTGAGAAAAATCAGATTTGGTCCACTTTTACCTGCTGTATGAACGTAGCCTAAATAAAGGCATTATGCTTAAAAATAAAGCAAATTTAGCCAATCGGCAACCCAAAGGTAAGACACAATTGCCATTAGTGGCGATCCTACATTAAAAGTACTATTCTTAACATGTGTACCTGTTTCATTGTATGCATTAAGTCCCCAGACGGTTTGGTGCAACCGCCAGACTAAGCATACATCTATATATGCCCGTTCAATTTTTCCAGTGTATAGTTTGAGATGCAAATTAAAAACAAAATCATATAAAACAATAACGCACAATACTTTTAGGAGGAAAAAAAAAAAGGTAGAAGAAAAACAAAAGCATCACATCCAACATCATCCACACAGCTAATGCCGAAGAGGATGTAAAAACATCACAAAGCTTCTCAAGCACCTCTGTACAAAACTGCACTAAAATCAGTGTTTCGCCCTCACGCAGCTATAAAAAAGCCATAAATCTGTTTTTTATGACCTCAAAAAAGTGACGTGTCCTGTCAAAGGATCTGGATTTATATCCGCACAAATGGGCGACTGCTACCAACATTTCAGCACTTCAATGGTTCAAAGAAATATGTGTCAAGAAAAAGAAAAGAAACAGTGCTAACGGAATTTGCTTGGAAGTTTGACCCGAAACAGGTTTCAGGTTTCAGCGAACACAGAATTAGAAGAGGTGCACTGCCTTGTGTAGAAACAGCTCACAAAACTGAACACTTCTGCGCAATTTCCTCTTTAAAGTTCCTCGACCTTGTGACACCTTTTCAACGAAGCCCAAAACAATCACACTGTTATTTCCTGTTCGTTATACTCGCCGAACACAATATGCAGGGTTAGTCTGCAGAGAACTGGGTTGGGTTAGCCATCCTTTATACTTCCTCATGCCAGAGCTGAACACAAAATGCTGGGTGGACCATTTCAGCCTCATTCAACTCCTGCATAAACAACAGATTTGAGAATCTGGTTGTTTTTTTTTCCTGGTTCTGCCGAATGTTGAGTTACTCAACTGACTAGATCAGTCTGTGAGGATTCATGACTAAAAGGAAACTGGCAGGTAGAGAATTTCCCTCGTCAAATCCACTTTTATAGAGCGGCACAGTCATAGACACGGCTGAAGAAAGACATAAACGGCATGGTCATATAATCAGCTAAGCTAACAACAACAACAATAACAACAACAGCAGCAGCAGCAGGACTAAGATGGGCCCAGAACGATGGCGGAGAATCCGACTATGAATGGGTGAAACACTTACAAAGGATTTAACAAGTATCGAGTTCCTTAGGCTGTAACCTAAATATTGTTCGTTGGAACAGCATGCGTACAAAAGCTCATTAAAGAGTGCTGGCTTTGTGTGATCCTGCTAGAGCTAACCTGAATGTTCAGTCGCTTCTGTTTAACCCCAGAATACTCTGGTCTAGCGAAGCCGTCCTCTAAACGTCACCTGTCCACGTCCCTTTCATTACAAAGAAGGACTTCAGATCCACTTAGGCTAATTCAGTGGAATAATGCTTGAGTATTGTTTTATCTAGTCACCTACAGTGATTCAATTTCTATGGCGGCCTGCTTACAAGAGATATACGGTAAAATCACAAGGGCTTATTGAAGTCAGTCAATGCAAAGTCAATGCAAACGTGTGAACACCCCCAGTGAAAAGACGTTCTGTTGACTTTCTAAGTGAAAATAAGTTAACACCTCCTCTACACGTGGCATTTTTCTGCACAATTTCTATTATTTAACGTGTTTGGCGGGGGAATACATATTAAGCCAGGCATACACTGTGCGATTTTAGAAATATTGTACGTCTGAATCGCCCATCGTGTTCGGCCAAAGTCTGCGATTTATACACTCACATTGTATGAAAACACTCGGGCCGACTGACATGACGCGACATGGGTGCTCACACTGCACCCGAAACGCAGCCACTACAGACGCTCTGTCTACAATAAAGCTGTTTCATTCAAAACAACACGCTGTGCCTCCGAGTCCCGCTCAAAACACTGGCTGAATCTCAAACGGCTCCCTGTGCACCACATTAAAATAGTGGCTCCTGCACCCATAAAGGGCATCGCATGTCTAATAAATAGCCTTCTGAGATTCAGCCATGTGTGCACAGTTCCATACTGGACTAACAGGGCACTATTTTGGTGTAGAAGCCAGATTCAGCCATTGATAAACCGCTACACCAGCTTTGCTAACTTGTGCCACGCTGTGCACTGAAGCTGAAGACCAGGCGGTCTAAAGGAAGCTCTATGAAGACAAACATTATTTATTTATACCTCGCAATTCAAACGGAGCAAAGTCGGCATACACGGACGCTGGTGCTGCAAACACGTACTTTACTGCCTCCGTGTAGGAGCGGTGGCAGTGATTGTGTGTGGTTTTGGGTGCGACTTTGAGAAATCGGTTCATGAAGCTGCTCAGACTGAGAGACAAGCGACCAAAATTCTGACATGTCAGAAATCCATCCGATTGTCCATCTGCTCAATCGGAGCTAAAATCGGGCTAAAATCGCAGGGTATGTCTGGCTTTACGTGTGCCATAACTTTCGCTCAGGCCACATTTTATGCTTTATTTCTGCCTCCACTATGTTAAATTTACCAAATAAACAGCAACTGTGCATTAAATGTGCTTAAGTCTGTTATCTGTAAAGGATGTATTCACTTATTTTCACTTAGAAAATCAAAACATGTAAATCAACAAAGCAGGTAATTGGACCAGGGTGCCCAAACTTTTGCATACAACTGTGCAAAAGTGGAAAGGCATCTGAGAATTTTTTTCATAAAGCTATTTATCAAGGCAGTAAGCATTTGTTTGGGGAAAAACACTAATATTATAATAAATACAAATAATACTAATGCAGTAAGTAGTGATGTGTGTCACTGTGCTTGTTGAACCATTTCCAATCACAGCCAGTATTATTTACATAATACATAGTTTGGCTAATCGATCCTTCACTGAATTAAAATCATGTGTGCTGCTGATGGAATTTAACAAATCAATGTAATATTCTTCTAATTAGCTCAACATAACTGCTTTTTTTAAAATCAACATATTGTTATTACTTTCTAACTGTATTTATTCTAATATTATACTGTTTTTAGTGGCTGAAACACACTTACTGCCCAGATAAATGGCGATTTGCTTCGGTGCCTAAGGCTGGCTTTACATGGTGAACCTTTCATGCATCTTTAGTTGCCCAAAACCTACATGAAATCGAACTGCACTTGAGTTGCAGAGAGTAAAGCGTCTTGCAACTCACTTGAAACTCTGCTGCAACAGTTGCAGGCAGCTCAGCTTCGTGAAACAACTTCAATAAAGCATCCAATCCAAATCACGTGATCACGTCGAGTGACAATTTCAAACGACTGATCCCCCCAGATCGACGGGGGGTTTGGTGACTCAAGATTGGTAGTTTTTCAATTTTCTTAGTTAACAAACATGAGTTTCTCAAAGGTAATGTCAGACGTCTGATTCATCTGGGCTCCAAACTATGAAAATTATTACAGAGACGCAGAACTCACAGCTGGAAAAAACATACAATGATGATAAAAAGTTTGTAAATCTGTCAGTTATACCTACGGATGAACTTGTACCAAGAACAGTACGGTGTATTTAAAAAGTTCCAGCTGCTAATTTGGCTAAATGTTCGAGCAACGGAGAACATTGCATGCAACTTTGCTTTTTGATTGTTTCATGTAACTGTCCAGCTGAGCAGAAATGATTTTGCATGAAAGTTTGGCCAGATAAAACCAGCCTAAGACTTTTGCACAGCACTTTCTGAACCTACTCACCCCAGAACAGGACCACACTGTCTAATTCTAAGCACATTGTTGATTTTACTGCGTACAGCAGTGGTGAATCTGGTGTCGTCTAGCCTGAAGTCAATGACCGTCAGCAGCGTTCCACATCTAGCCCATCAAGAATCGCCTGAGTGCTCTGAAACTAAAGCCAAGCAAAAACTGATCTCTGAGCCAGTAGACAAAAGGAGAGCAGCAGTTTAAAACGTTCATAAAGAATGACAGGGTTAGGGCAATGAGGGTTACCTCCCTTGAAATCTCTCACTTCTCAGCTAAACAGTCGCGCGATTCCTCACAGCATCTGAACACAAGATGAGTTTTCCTGGGAAAGAGCTGAACGCGATTAAGACATCGATTTTTAAAATATAGTACCTTGACAGTTTTTTTAGTTTTGCTTCTTACAAAACCACCTTTTTTATTTAAAAACGCTTGTTTGAGAGTTGCTACATTCTAAGTCACTACAAGCTTGTGCAGAATCGAGAGTGGAAACTTTCTTTTTGTGCAACTTTCTTTTGAAAAGTTACTGTTACGCCTTGTCCCACCTTTCACTGCCTGAAAGAAGAAACGATTACTATGACCTACATGGTTAGTTTTGTGGGGAAAACACTTAGAAAAAAAGGCTGAGTGAAAGAAAGACCTACTCTCTATCGGGATTGTCCTGGCTTTCTGCTGTTTTAGCTGAAGAGGTACACTGCAGGGGTTGGGTAAAATGGAGATCGAATCAAGTTCCCTCCCTCCCTCACACTAGGTAGCAGCTCAGTCCTCTATTTCTCTTTCTCTCTCTCTCTTTCCATTCCTGAGCCCACACTCCCTCAGCGTCTTCTTCCTCCTCTCCCTCTTTTCTTCGCAGATGATCTGCCGCGTCCTCTGGTGGCCTTTTCCTCCGGCACGCTGCTAGGAACGTCGTCTTCTTCCTCCGGCTCCTCTGTAACCGTCTCCTCCTCCACGTCTCCGGGCTGGCCGGGTGGTCCAGCCGCTGCCTGCTGGCTTGGGGAAGGCGGTCTGCTGCTGCTGTTGCTGTTGCTTGTGCTGCTGGTGGTGGTAATGCTTCCCTGATGAGTAGTAGCTGGTTCGCTGGAACTCACTGGAGCTAGTCTACTGTTGCTGATAGCAGGGTCACTTAAAGAGGAGCTACTGGGAGCCTGTCTGGCCTGGGGGTCTGCATTTTTGGTGGGATGGTCCGCTGAACTGCCACAGACTGACTCTACTGTCGAGCCCTCCTGGAGCTTTAAGGCCTTGTATTTCTGTAATAGACAAATATCAATAGTGAATTTACAATCACAGGTCCATCACTGCTTAGGCTACACATTATACTATACTGCTGCATACTATAATCAATTAATCAATCAACCTTTATTTAAACTCGGAATACATTGAAGGAGACCCCCATTTACAATGTAGCCGAGCAATACAGGAATCAGAAGTTGTACAGTAAAAAATAAACCAAAAGTTATAATGAAATAATAAAAATCATAATAGTAAAATTTAATAATAAGAAGGTACCAATAAACCGTTAAATCAATAGACGATTAAAATTACAATATAGTAACTCAACAAATAACAGATGAAATAAGGATAAATAAAAATATATATTAATAAAATAAAAGAAATAGATGTAAGACAATAAATTGACAATGATAAAATAAATAAAAAGAATAAAAACAATGATATAAAGTAAAGAAATAAAAAGTACAAAAGTGAAAAACAAACCAAAAATCATATTAAAAGTTAAGTAAAATCAAATAGAGCAGTCGCAGGCTGTGTGGAGGTGGTTAGAGACTAAACATTTAAAATGTTCATGTTTCAATATTGCAAAATAACACAATATATTAAAAACATCCTTTTTTTTTTTTTAAACCAAAATGACAAATTTGATGGATTACATAAATGTCTTGATTGGTCCAAACAGCCAAAGCACATCTGAGGATGTGAAAAGCATATAAATAAACTACTGACTGGATAGAAGGACCCATTTGTCCACTGCAGCCTTTTGTGATATTAGAAATGTATATGCCAGTTTTGATTAATAACAATTAATAATTTCACATAATTATTGCACACTGACAATCAAAAACACCACCATCGCTACAACAGGACTGCTGCACAATAATACCATCAAAAATAAATCCATTTCCACAGCACAAACTCTAATATGGCATACATTAATATCTGTTTTGTTCAAACCAATGGCATCTCATCTATTAAAGTCCCGGGATCGGAGATCGCTAAATGTAATACCTCTAACAGCCAAAAATATTAGCAAAAAGACATTTTCACAGATTTCATGAATTTAATTTTTTCTAATCTATTTCATGACTTTATAAAAGCTGGATCCAAGTGAACCCTGTACCAGTTAACTTACAGAATGATGACCTGTATAGCCTGGATATCTGTATATTCAGACAACCACATCCATCCTTAATTGTGGCAGCTGAAACGTAATGATGCAGATAAAGTCTTAGGCCTACCTTCATACTCTGAAAGTGCTGGAGCGTCTTGCAATGAGTGTGTCGTGCTGATGTCTCGAAATGATAAAACTGGTTACACAGTCGGCACAGAAACCCAGCCACGGGAATCACAAAGCTGGAACCTTGGAGAAAACACAGATACATGATTTAAGGTTTTTATACAAGATCTTATCCATTAGTGACATACATAAAAATGAGGATGTTCTCCTTACCATATACCGTGTCTGGGTCAAACTCCTCCTCCTCGGTCATGTCCTCCAGCGTAATTTCCATCTGCACAGGCAGCCCTTCCTGCAAGTGTGAGAACCACCAGAACCACTTACTCGTCTCTGCTGATGCTAATGCACTTTTTCACACTGCATCTATCCGTTTTTTTACCATTTACACGTCCACTGGAAAACACATGCTTACCATTGACGTCATCTGATCAAATAAAACCATCACAGCACTACTTTTCCATACATGTGCGTCTTTATATATTGACTGTATTTTGACTGTAGGCCAGTTTTCATTCAACTTAATTAGCAGGATTACACTTTATCACATACGCATTCTGAATCATCTATAAAACTGAGGATGTATATATATCAGAATTCAATGTTTTAAATTGAGACTTGTTTATTGTAACTTATTAAGCTTAGTGTCAGAATCAGCACAGATTTTGCATCTAATTTAATTGTTCTTTTGTGACATTTTATTTTATTTCTTATTAATGTTGATAATGATGCTTCAATTTTGGGAAGCTGAAAATAAGCTATAATTATTAATAATTATTTAATTTAAGGTTTAGGTTTTAAATTAGACAGATCAGCTCTGAGTTTCTTTAAATTATAGTTTACAGTTTTTTGCAATCTTCTGTTGTAAAATAAATTTTGTATCGATTTAGTTATGTAATATGCATTTAGAGCTCTGTATAATCAGGACATTTTTAGTACAAAATTGTATTGCACCTGAAGGTATCATTACATCTCTATATACACAGATCAGGCATAACATTATGACCATGTTTCTACGCTCATTGTTCATTTTATCAGCTCCACTTACTATATAGGTGCACTTTGTAGTTCTACAGTTACAGACTGTAGTCCATCTGTTTCTCTGCATACTTTGTTACCCTGTTCTTCAGTGGTCAGGACCCCCATGGACCCTCACAGAGCAGGTACTATTTGGGTGGTGGATCATTCTCAGCACTGCAGTAACACTGATGTGGTGGTGGTGTGTTAGTGTGTGTTGTGCTGGTCTGAGTGGATCAGACACAGCAGTGCTGCTGGAGTTTAACACCTCAGTGTCACTGCTGGACTGAGAATAGTCCACCAACCACAAATATCCAGCCAACAGCGTCCTGTGACCACTGTGACCACAAGGACTAGAGGATCATCAACACATCGTCTCTGACTTTACATCTACAAAGTGGACTGACAAGGTAGGAGTGTCTTATAGAGTGGACAGTGAGTGGACACAGTGTTTAAAACCCCAGCAGCACTGCTGTGTCTAATCCACTTGTACCAGCACAACACACACTAACACACCACCACCACGTCAGTGTTACTGCAGTGCTGAGAATGATCCACCACCCAAACAGTACCTGCTCTGTGAGGGTCCATGAGGGTCCTGACCACCGAAGAACAGGGTAAAAGGGGGCTAACAAAGTATGCAGAGAAACAGATGGACTACAGTCTGTAACTGTAGAACTACAAAGTGCACCTATATAGTAAGTGGAGCTGATAAAATGGACAATGAGCGTAGAAACAAGGAGGTGGTGATTATGTTACGCCTGATCGGTGTATATCCGATACACTAGGATAAGTAGGAGTGACATTCAATCCACTGTGCCCAGTGTTTGACAAATCTACCATTCTGGAGTTGACGAGGCCACATCCATGTAAAAAGATCGGGGTAAAATGTGCAGATTTCCCCTACCTGACCATTTTCTTCATCAGGCCTTTCCTCCTCATCGCTGTCCACACCTTCTTCGCCCGCTCCAACTGCATAAGCCTCTAAACTCAGGTCCTCCAAACTGTCTTTCCCAGTCTCTTTCCACAGCTATGGCAAAAATAAAAATAAATTAAAAAAAGAGGCAAAAACAAAAACATTATCTTAAAAAGCTACCAGTGGCAAATCCATTTCTGTGCTACAGAGATATTTGAACTGTACCTGCTCCATGCGCTGCTTGTGCTCAGTGGACTGCATGTGTTCGACAAACTCTCTAGACATTCTGAACTGCTGCTTACAGACCGTGCAGGTGGGGTTAGAGGAGCGGCTACAAATCTGCAGCAAAAAAATATAAAATGAAAGTCAGAGAGAGTCACTGGTTTATTTTCTGTGTTAGCTTTTGGTGTTTGGTTTAATCAGAAAATTAAAACACTGACATTAAACAAAGTTATTTTTCATAAGGGGCACTTATTTTGTATTAAACTAAGGACTGATTTCCTGCCAGCATATTATACTGCACCTTGTGCTCCCTGGTCTTGCGATGGTCCATGACATTAGTAGTGAAGTGGGTCTGGCAGGTGGCGCACCACCTCTGTAGGCCCGGTCTTTTCTCTCTGCAGTATAACACATATAGAGCACTTATACAGCTGCAAGGCATTTTAGCAAGAAACAGTTGATATGTGGGCATACAGTTTAATTTGCTCTTATAAATACTTTAGTTCCATATCAGAATGTTTTAAAATGTTTTATTCTTTTCAATAATTTAAATACAGTGAACGTAATTTTTTATCACTGACGTTCAGTGAGAGTACGCCGTCATACCGCTATGTTACGTCTTGTTTTGAGTGGAACTGAGTTTTCCACTTTGCTGTTGCTTTTGTGACATTTGCTGCTTGCTGATTTAGCCTTAGTTCTCCTATGCTAATGTTATTAATATTACTGACTTTACCACATATGAAGAGAGTGTTGCTTTTAAATGATACCTTGGACTTCATGTACTTTGGTGATTAACAAATTTAATGCACCATAGAAGCTGGAAATAATGTTCATCAAGAAAGCCATTAATGGAACGAGAAAAGCTGTATGTCAACGAGAGGGCTACAAATGTGGAGTCAAAGCACGAGCAGCTGGGCCAAAGGCCGCATATAAGGTAAACCTGGGACTAAAGATGGTTCAAATGGTCAAATTAGCTAAATTTGTTAACCAAAAAAAAAAGAACAATTTAAACTAATTTTATATATACATACATATGTATATCGCTGCTGTCTGAAGAAAACCTCGTATCTCCAGGTTTGATGTTTTTCAGTTGATTTGAAAATGCCTGTGGCCCTTTACATTGTGTGTAAATTTATTGATGGCTGCACTTAAAGAAATGACCCAAAAAGACTTGTAAAGAAAGTCTGGTTCCATTGGCTTACATTAAAAATAAAGTATGCTTTATTTATTTTTTTTTTTATTATAAAGTATCTATACCTATATATATATCTATACCTATATATATATCTATACCTATATATATATATATATATATATATATATATATATATATATATATATATATATATATATATGAACAGTATTTCTAATCTGGGTGGCCCAAAAACACAGCATACCCTAGATAGGTGTGTGCATTTGGATTATGCTGTGTTTTTGGGCCACTATGATAAGAAAACACTGGTTTCCAATATTCTACAGACAGTAGACACAAGCATTTCTGCGTGTTCAGCTTACCCGTCCTTGCGAGCCCCTTGCAGAGACTCCTGTACACGAGGCAGCAGCGTGACGAGGCAGGCGTTACTCATGTGCTGTATCTCCATCATTCTCTGCTGGTGGGCCAGTCCATTCATATGGCTCTGAAAATTCTGTGCAGACAAACATGTACACACACAAACTCTTTATCCAGGTCCACAATGTAAAATACATAAACAGGCCCAAATTTCATCAAATGCATTGGTCAATCAGTGATGAAGACAAACTGAGGGCTACTGGAACCGGTAAAACACATTTAAGCTAGGGCTGGGCGATTAATCGAAAAGTAATCAATGTCGAGTCGGTTATTTTCCCACTTCTGTGTGTTCATGTACTGTCCCCTTAAAAACTTACTTCCGCGCGTGTGGTCACATGACTCTGCCATGTCCGGTCTGCGACATGGAAGCTAAGGCTACAATCACACAGCCGGTAAAAGTGGCCCAAATCTGATTTTCTCACCAAATCTGATTTTTTTTTTGTTTGGCTGGTCACATTATCTTTTAAATGTGATCTGTATGAGACAGTCTGAACAGATCAGCTCCTAAACTGACCCTCATGAGCAAATGAGCAGAGCTTGGCGCTGCGTCACGCGGCTCATCCAGAGGTAAACAATCACGACTGCCAACAAACGCCAGTCGCTCCCGGAGGTTCAGCTTCATCTTCACCAGCATCACAGGAGCCATCATGAAGCTTCACTGACTGACAGCTGGGCTCATCACCCAGAATGTGTTCGAGCCGTAAAAAGGGCGCGGTCACTTCTTTGATTTGTGTCCTCGGATTCTTTAAACTTTGCTTCCAGACTTTTAACTGTTCTTTGACACTGCAGCCTCGTTCTCCTGCGGCCACGTTTGGTCATTTCTTTCGAAATCTCTTCAAACATGGAGGGTTTTGGATAAATCTCTTCTACTTTTTGTACAGAAATATCACCACAAATGTTTATGAGTCTCAGCTGAGACTCATATGATGAATGTTGAGTTGGACTGAGGTAAAAGCCGCGTGAATTCCGATCTGGCTGTTGAGACGATTTACATTAAGATATGAGTGTATTTACAGTAAAAACCTTTTCAGTGAAGTATGAGGGGAAAAAAAAAAATAAAAATAATAATAATAATAATAATAACAAAAAAAATTGTTTATTAATCTTAATCGAGGTAAAACATTCAATTAATCGCAATACTGATTTGAGGTCATATCGCCCAGCACTAACGTAGGCAACCGAAGACTAAGACTATTTTAAAACAATAGTCAGTAAACCAATAATAGATCAACCAGATAATCAACGAAAAAGTTGAAAGTGAAATGACTGTAAATTCCAGTCAATTTCCTAAATCAGCGCAGGGTTCAAATGAACTTTTTCAAGCAAGTTTAAACTGTCCTGAACAAATCAAACACAAACCTCTTGGTCAAAAACAGTAACTTAATGGATTTTCCTGAAAAAAGTAAAAGTATCCCATTACTGATGTCGACATTCCCAACTGGACAAGTAATTTTTACCACTGCTGTCCCGACTTCACATTTCACTCGCCCCAGGCAATCAGACAATCGTTTAATATTGAACTCCGCCATCGACATACAATTCTAACACATTTTAGCATTTACACAGGCATTAAATGTTCAGTCAATACTGATTTAGTCAGTGTTTTCATTTCCTTTTCAAATAAATGGAAAACAGTACTAATGCTTATGTCAGAGCACCAAACCTGTTGGTTGTGACAGGTGATGTTGCAGATGTAGCAGTAGAATCTGTTGGAGGTTTCTCCTCCTGTTTCTCTGGTCTCCTCACTGACATCACTTGACTCGACAGCGTCCTCCTTGCCATCAGCCACCGTCTCAGAGCCTGCAGGCTCAGACTGACCCGGACTGTTCTGCCGCTGTGTGTCTTTGAGTAAAGATTCGGAGTCTTCAACCTGCTGCGGCAAGAGGAGAGGAGTCAGGAGCTGCGTGGTACCTTACATTTTCCTCCTCAGCATTTAGCAAAATGTACTTGGTTCGCCAACCTCAGCTGCTCTGCTTTGCTCCACCGCCTCAGCCGCCTCTGACCCGGCCACGGTCCCGTCTTCCTCTACTATGCAGTCTGAAACAAACAGGTCATTTACATTTCGTTTTAACCTTTTCAACTCCTTGAGACCACCGGTGGTTCCAAAACGCACTTCGTCATATTCTTCATAACTTTCATATTTCATAAGCTACATTCTAAAGGTGGGGGTCGTATGAGAGCTGGAACTGTCTTCTCTCCACTCAAATAGATGGGTGATGTCATTTTAAACCCTTATAATAAAAGAAGCTGAACTCACAATTTTTTTTTCTACTGAAAATCGACCCATTTTTCCACAAATCTGGGCTGTAAACTATAAACAGATGGCGTCTCTTCAGTGATCTGCTCTGTAAAAACTATTTTTATAAAATAATACAAAGAGTGTTTAAGATTTTTGGCTTTCAGCAGTAAATTGTAAGCATATAGCAATATGTGTGATCATAAAACACATGTTCTGTTAATTTGAGGGGAGCTTTTACAAAAAATAAATAAATAAAATAAAATAAAATAAAAATTTACATTTATTTCATGCAGTTACTGAATAATTTGCCTTATGATTTGGCCATGTAAATTATGATAGAAAAACCAGAATAAACCCTGGTCATTAAGAACAGATGGACAATAGGAGTGTAGAAGTCCACCGAAGCATCATGATGCATCAGTGTGAACGTGGTGATTCAACTGCATCGATTTCAGAACGTAGCAATATTCAACTATGTGCGTTCCAAAAAAAGTTGGGACACTGTGTAAATTATGTAATTGGTCTCCTCACTTCCCACACGTTTACAAGCTGTTGCTAAAAGAAGAGGGGATGCTACACAATGGCAGACATGGCCCTGTCCCAACTTTGAGATGTGCTGCTGCCATAAAGTTCTAAATGAGTTAATATTTTTCATGAAATGGTAAAATGTCTCACTTTCAACATCTGATATGTGTTCTTTGCTCTACTGTGAATAAAATATGGGTCTATGAGATTTGCATATCATTGCATTCTGTCTTTATTTACAATTTACACAGCGTACCACCTTTTTTTGGAATTGGGGTTGTACATTCTGGGGCTATATTAAATGCAAAAATATTATAAAAGAGTCAAAACAAGCAGCTCTTGTACTGTAAACTGTAAAGTTATCGAAACATAACTAGGTCAATTTTAGATCAGTAAAAAAAAAATTCCCTATTTATTGTGTTTGTCTATATTATGTAACAAGCTCCTTCAGTGACATTGGTAAGTTTTCACTGTTTTTTTTATATATAATTCTGAATCATGCCAAAATAATCAAATCAAATGGTGAAGTTTTAGATTTCATGATGTAAAGAAACTTTTCCTTAAAAATCATTGAATCGAATAGATCTTCAGCTAAACTAAAACATCATAACAAGTAGAAAACATTTATCCAACAAGGGATTTTATGCCTTGTTCTTGTCTTATGCTTTTCTTGTGCCAGGCAAATTTCACAATGTGGATCCTCACTATTATCTGTGTAATTCAAACTAGACCCAGAGTTCACCTGTGCCTTGGAGGCCCACGCTAACTCATTTTAAACACTAGGTCTGTTGTGTTTAGCATAATAATACAGGGATATCTTCCTCCTGGGCTGATAATTAAGTACTGCACGATTTATTCATTCATTTCCACATTCACAGCACACCACTTAGACGCTACTAACATTAGACAGCGGTAAATTAGATGAGGGTTAAAAGCACATTCTGAAAAAGTCCTGCACACCAGGAGGATGATAGGAGTAAGAACATCTGAATCTGTGCACCTGCAGTGTTGGGATCTTCAGCAGGGCGTTCATACTCAGTACTCAGGGAAGCTTCTGTCTCCACTGGATCATCTGGCCTACGTGACAACAGGAACAGAGACAACTTAATAGCCAAAAACCAAGACGGCACTTTAATTCTGAATTCTCCCACAGTTTAAACACATTCAAACACATTTTCAGTTTTTGACATAGTTTGAAAATGCCTGTTGTCCTTTACATTGTGTGTACATTTCATGAAGAAAGGACCAAAAGAAACGGCCCAAAGTCACTTGGAAAAAAATCTGTTTTCCATTGACTTACATTAAAAGTGAAGTAGGTTTTTCCTTCTCATAGCTCTAGTTTTTGGAGTGATGCACAAAAGATGAATAAATCGCTTTTGAAAGAAAAACTCCCATCTCCAAAATTGTAACTTTACAGGAGAAGTAAAAAACCTACTTCACTTTTAATGTAAGTCAATGGAAACAGACTTTTTTCCAAGTGACTTTGGGCCGTTTCTTCTGGTCCTTTCTTCATGAAATGTACACACAATGTAAAGGACAACAGGCATTTTCAAATTATGTCAAAAACTGAAAAACGACAAAAACGGATATACAAGGTTTTCTTCCGACAGCAGCGAAATACCAGACTCAAAACTTTTCAGAGAAGCGGTGCTAATCTAGCATGCATTCCTATTAGTAAAATAATCTGACATAAGATTAGCATTCCTACCCTGAGAAGCTTTATCAATACAGGCTCAGAAGGGTAGTACATTAACAGAGATGCTGCTGCGATTTTAATGCAGATATGAAGAAGCTATAAATGTATTCGTTTTCTACAATTTTGGAGATGTTAAAATGACTGAGAAGCCTGTATATGAAAAGATGTTAAAATAAAATTTAAATCCATATTTTCTAATATTTACAAAGCGCTGATCAAACGTCAAGCCAGCTGCTTTGATAAGAAACTACTAGAGTGGCAGTTAGGAGTGTCTTGACGTTCCTAAGACAAACGAAATGCTGAACAAAACGTTTAAAAACACTTTTGGAGGCAGATAAATGGAATTTAATTCTACACTGTGCAAGTTATCCCTCGATAAAATAAACAGTTATGTTAAAAAACGTGTGCTTTACCCTTCTGTTCTCGGTTTCTTTGCAGCTGGCTCATCTGACTGCTGTGTAGATGACTGACTGCTCACATCTGCCACTGCTGCAGCTTCATCTGAGGTAAAAATAAATAAGCCTTATGATTACAGATCGTGAACATAAAGACAGTGAATATGATGCATTAAGATATAAATGAATGTACAGTGTAGCAGTGCTGAAGAGAGTCAAACTGAAGTCGCAGGCCTTATAGGTAGGTTTAAGTGTGCGTACCTCGGCTGCTGCTTGCCCCCGGCTGGCTGTCTGTGCCCCCCGCAGGTCTCTGTTCGTTCTCCTGCTTCCTGTCAGGCTGTCGTGACTGGAAGTCCTGCGTGTGCAGAGTCAATACAGTCACTGCCAGCTCTAGTAATTATAGCACCAAGCAACATATCACTATTGTCAGATCAAAACCTTATAATCTCCAAATCACAACGTAACAGGAGAAGAAAAAAAACATACTTTACTTTTAATGTAAATATATGGAACCATACTTTCAAGTAGTTTTGGATCATTTCTGTTCCATTCATCAAGAGATTTACACACAATACACTGATCAGGCATGACATTATGACCACCTCCTTGTTTCTATGCTCATTGTCCATTTTATCAGCTCCACTTACTGTATAGGTGCACTTTGTAGTTCTACAGTTACAGACTGTAGTCCATCTGTTTCTCTGCGTACTTTGTTAGCCCCCTTTTACCCTGTTCTTCAGTGGTCAGGACCCCCATGGACCCTCACAGAGCAGGTACTATTTGGGTGGTGGATCATTCTCAGCACTGCAGTAACACTGATGTGGTGGTGGTGTGTTAGTGTGTGTTTCGCTGGTCTGAGCAGATCAGACACAGCAGTGCTGCTGGAGTTCTTAAACATTGCTTCCACTCACTGTCCACTCTATTAGACACTCCTACCTTGTCAGTCCACCTTGTAGATGTAAAGTCAGAGACGATAGCTCATCTGCTGCTGCACAGTTTGTGTTGGTCATCCTCTAGTCCTTCATCAGTGGTCACAGGACGCTGCCCACAGGACGCTGTTGGCTGGACCACTGATGAAAGACTAGAGGATGACCAGGACAAACAGCAGCAGATGAGCTATCGTCTCTGACTTTACATCTTCAAGGTGGACTGACAAGGTAGGAGTGTCTAATAGAGTGGACAGTGAGTGGACACAGTGTTTAAAAACTCCAGCAGCACTGCTGTGTCTGATCCACTCGTACCAGCACAACACACACGAACACACCACCACGTTAGTGTTACTGCAGTGCTGAGAATGATCCACCACCCAAATAGTACCTGCTCTGTGAGGGTCCATGGGGGTCCTGACCACTGAAGAACAGGGTAAAAGGGGGCTAACAAAGTATGCAGAGAAACAGATGGACTACAGTCTGTAACTGTAGAACTACAAAGTGCACCTATATAGTAAGTGGAGCTGATAAAATGGACAATGAGCGTAGAAACAAGGAGCTGGTCATAAGCAGCGACTTCAGCCTCGTAAAAAGTCAATTCTAAAACTAAAACTATTGTAATTTTGGAAAAGTTTCCTGCTGGAGATGCGAGAAAAGCAACTATAACTGAGCTAAAGCTTAAAGCAGAGCGAAGTAAGTCTGCATTTTTCATTTATCTTATATTTTTAGCCTATACTAGAACATCAGCACATACTGACACATATTTACAGTCAAGATAGTAAAACGGACATGTTGTGGCTCCCAAAGTGATTTGATTTTTGTTGAAAGGACAAAACGGCTCTTCTTAACATTTGGGTTGCCGACCCCTGCACTGGACAATCCGCACTGAGAGATGAACCACTGAGGTCTTACACTGTTGAAATAGCGAGCATGAGGGTTGAAGTGTCGTGGAGGAAATCCCATGTGCGGAGTTTTAATGGCAACCCCAAGCGGAACAGGGCCCAAGATGGAGGACCTCGAGCCTGCAGCGAAAAACTGCTGGAACTGCTGACCACCCATGGCAAAGCTCCTCATGTTCCCTGATGGAGAAAAGGCAGATTTGCAGGCTCCATTAAATAAAATTCATTCTTACTGCTTATTCCCATATTCTCAAATTCAAATATGTTTCTGTTACAGGCTGATAAGACTCTCTTGGACGCTCGCCTGTGCAGACACTTAACATAGACACTGTTGAGTAAAGAGCCTTTGTGCTGGTTGTGTTTTGTGAAAGATTTATAATGTAGCTGTTAAGCCTGTTTATTCGTGCAGCACTGGAACTTATCATGTAACCTCACAATCTCTCCTCACAGACTGACATTCTCCAAATTTACTGCATGGCTCTATTTGGGTGTGTATCTTTTTTATTGTTCAGGCATAAGATTTCAAATGAAACAGATTGGAAAGCTGACTTTTCTATGCTTTTATTCAACTTCGCTGCAGTATATAAAGCTTTGATGTACCACTTCTCAGTTCATACATGGAAACAAAACTACAAAAAAAGGCTGTTTTGAAATCACTGTTTTTGTGATGTCACAAAGACCAACACATTTACATACATCTGCCTTTTCAGTCAGTTTAGCTCTGATCATTCATGCTTATATAGGCTACGTTCACATTAAGTGGCACAAATCCGATCTTTTGCCCTAATGTGACTCAGATCTGATGTTTTCAGGGCTGTGTGGACACAAATCTGATCTTTTCAAATCTGACCTGAGTCACTTTCATATGTGGATCTAGATCGGATACATATCCGATTTGTGGCCATGCAACCTTAATGTGACGCTCAGATCGGAAATCATGAGCTTTTTTTCCACTGTGCGTGACCATCATTCAGCGTTACCATGGCAGCAGCGCCAAACAGAAGTTAAAGCCTGTAAATGGTGGAAAAGCAGCTCATCTCACCTTTTTCTCCTTCGTCTCGCTCTGATAATGAAGCTGAGAGCTGATCAGAGTTAATTATCTTCTCAGCGAAGCTCGTTCTGCTCGTTAGTTTGTGCTGATGATGAACGTGATTCGTTCACGTGACGTTACTGAGTAGGATGTGTTCATGAGGGTCATTTCAGGACGCCGGTTCGTCACATTAATGACAGATTTGAATCGCTTAACTAAACGAGTGTGAACCATCGTGTCAGAGAGATCAGATTTGAGCAACGAGGCTTGTAATGTGAACGAGTGTTTCAGCCCGGATTGAGGCACAATACATGCCAGCCAATAAGAACACAGCCCACCGACTTAACGGTAGAGTAAAAACATGTAAAATGAATAATTGCTAATTTTGGTTTCTAAAACCTCACAAATGTTTCAGGTGGAAATATAAAATGTAAGAAAAGTGTAAGATATAGGCCCTTTAACTTCCTCTGCCCCTCTTCTAAAACAAACAGAAGGGGAAAAAAAATAAATAAATAAATATAATCTGTGCTGTTGTGCAAAAGAGATTTTAAATTTTTTGATCTTTGATTTGTATTTATTTTTATTTAAATTGGTCAACCATTTGGGACGGGGGAAGAAATCTATGCAACAGCTACACTGTTAGTGTCTATTTGTGTTTACCACACAAATGATGACCAAAAGCTTTAACAACATTTAGGACCAAAAACATTAATGACATTTAAGAGAAAATCAAAGGTTATTTTGAAGTTATTTCGGTCAGCTTGCTTAATACAAATACTTTTAATCGACAGTCAAATAAAAAAAGTGATTTCAAACATAAAAATCAAATTAAAATTCCAATCCAGTAAATAACTGCCTATTAAAACAAACACACAAAAAACAAAACACACCTGCAACTGCAGTTAACTGTCAAAGTAAGGACACTACAGACATCACATGACCTTTCCTAAATCACCACCGGCTCCACACAGCAGCTATATAAAGAAAGCCATGTCTAACACGGACTCAGTTTACCTTGCATCTGCTGCATCAGTAACGCCCCTTGCAGCATGGGGTTCGGGGCGATGATAGTTTGAGTGGCTGAGCAGAGGTTGACCATACGGGCGGGAGGCGGTGCCGGCGCTGGGACGGCCAAGGGCCTGTTAGACACAAGCAGACACTGAACTGAAGAACAAAGCCTGAACAGTGTTATTAAAGCCCAAACAGACTGCATCAAATACACCAGTAGCGCTGAGCCGTTTTTAAAATAAAATTAATAAGCGTTTATTAACTTTTTTAATGTGTGCTTAAATTTAATCTGATAGCATGTTGATTTTGGAAAAAATAGTCCGGTCATTCCACAGAAATGTCCACATTTCTATTTATCTATAGGAGTCACTGGTGTTACTGATCATTATTGGTGTTACACATAAGAAAGGCTGCTACAGAGCATCAAACCACATGTTGTCAATCATGGAATATCCACTAAAATATGGAATTTAATCCATTTGTATTCTATTTTTTCACAGTTACCTCAGAATAAAGTCGGTCACACCAGTGACTTCAGCTAAAAGCTTCATATGAAATCATGAGCTAAATGAGAAAATCTCTGATAACTGAAAGACTCAGTGGACTCACCATGTGCTTTTCTTCATAGATCCTCAGAAAACAGGTAAAAGGAAGTCGAGTGATGTCATCAGTGTGACTTTTATTTCAAAATAAGAGATTTTTTGTTACGCAGTCACACCAGTGACACGACTCCTGGGGACCACAACTTTCATTATATATTTTATAATATTTATTTGCCATTTGTTTTCTTTATGTCATTTAAATCATATATTTCGTAGTCATGTATAGATTATTTTATAGGTTTTTTTTTCCCCCTCAAAATATGGCCTCACCCTTTACACATGACGGTGAGGACTAGCACTTCTGTGGTGCTTGGAATTCTATATGATTGATTTATAAAGCAATATTGCTAATTTGACGGCTCAAGAAGGTGTGATTCTTAAAACAAGTTATCGTTTTATTTTAAAATATAAATAAATTGTGATGTTTTTCAAGTGTAATATATCTGTAAATGCTAGAGACACAAAAATGGACGTTTCCATAGAGTGATAGATTTTACAAGTGCTAGTGGTCTATCCTAAAAGAACTTCTCAAAAATCTGACAGAGCTTGTTCTGATTAGACTGTTCTGTTTCTCTTACAATTACACCCAAGAGAGTCTTACACAGGATGGTGAACATTACCCAGGTATTAAACACACAAAAAAAAACAATATTTATACATACAAGGAACATTTTTTAATATCTAAATTACATTATATGCATTTGGCAAATTATGGATATCGTCAGTACTTTCCCAACTACATGCTTGATAAAGAGAGCATAATTAGTCAATTTAATTGGGTTTAGTGCAGCACAGAAATGTGACATACTGAATACAAATCATTTTTTCAAAGTTTGTGCCTAAAATGTAGCTTTTTGTCTTTTTTCTCGATTTTTTTAACATTAAAATTAGTCAAAAAGCACATTCCTGTTATATATATCCATGATACATATTTTGTCCTCACCCTTAATGATTAGGTCCTTGTATTTATTGCATTTTGCATTCTGTTTGGTTTGTTTATGAATGCACCAACGCCAAGATAAAGTCCTAGTACATGCAAGCGTACCTGGCCAATAATGTGATTCTGACTCTGCCACAGCTGGTGGGATTTTTGAATTCAGACCGACTGAACGGACCACTCAATTCATCCTCGACCCTTCGCTGTTAGAAATAAAGGTTCTGTGCACTTATATTTTTTGTTCATCAAGGTACGAACAATGTAAATGTACCCTCAAAGGTACAACAGTGGTTTTAAGGTCTGATTGTGGACCTTAAATAAGTTTTTCCAGGTGAAAAGTTCGTATTTGTACCTTTTCATAACCGAATGTTTTAAAATAGAACAGTAAAATAAAAGCCTGGAGACGAGACGGGGTGTGTGGAGTCAGTACAGCTTAGAACATATCATTTCAGTGGATTATGGTTCAGTTATGTTCCCTGACTAAAGGTACTGAGATGCACCCTTGAGGGTCCCACCCCAGTGACAGGAGGGGTCCTGCCCCAGTCACAGTTTCATGCCTTTTTTCTGAGAGTGTAGTAGTGCCTTACCGGCCGCCTGCGTGGTGATGCGGGATGTGGTGGCTGGGTGGAGGCTGAGGAGGCGGCGGAGGGGGCGGAGGAGGAGGCGGGGTTTGCTGCTGGAAAAGCTGCTGCAGCTGCCGCAGGTGCTGATGGAACTGCTGCTGCTGCTGGTGGTGGTGATGTGGGTTAAACATCTCGACTGTCAGAGACTGGGGTGGCGGTGACAACCTGGCAAACTGCACGATACTCAGCCTGGTGGAGTCCTGAATCAGTGATATAAGAGTGTCATGAGTCATTTCACGCAAAGAGAGCAATCTGAGTCCAATACAGCCAACATATACAACATTAGAATAACAACAAAACACAAATACAGTTAAAATATTACAAAATTTTCTTTTCTATTTAAAAAAATTAGTTTATATGTTGAGTTAAACACAGGTATGGTTCCAGATTTCTCCTGTTGCACTCTAGCCATCACATGGATTTCTTAAATTCCATCAGCAGTACTCCTGATTTCATTTAATGAGAGGCTGATTCGCCCAACCAGTTGTTGGACAGTAACTATAGTTAATGCTGTGATATTTTGATTTATACAACAGTTAGTTCCGGCCACGCAAGCCGATTGGTTGAGAAGCGTTCTGAGAAGGGTTTTTCACAAACACTATCACTCCGCTGAGTGGCCAGCTGTAGGAGACGCTCAAGCCATTTGAAGGTTTTTACTTCTTACTTTGCCACAAACAGAAAATGGACACTTTTAAGATCACATTTGACCGACAGCCGATTTGGTCAGACTCTGAAGATGAGACGACACTAAACTCCCAAACTGTCATCACCACTGAGCAGCTTTTCAGTCGAAACAACCTGGAATCAGCCAGAAATGAACCCAACACCATTCGCCAAACAAAACAGGCTGTAAGATGCTTTACAGACTGGCTGGAACAAAACAACATTAATACTGATCTGGCAAAAACTGACAAAACTGAGCTAAACTTGATATTGCGGCAGTTTTATGGCTCAGTCTGATTTGATCAGACTCTGAAGATCAGACTACATGTTTGGCGAATGGTATTGGGTTCATTTCTGGCTGATTCCAGGTTGTTTAGCTGTTCTTCTGTCACAGCTGCCGACTGAAAAGCTGCTCAGTGGTGATGACAGTTTGGGAATTTAGTGTAAGGAGCTGGACAACGAACTGCCGGCTGAGCAGCGAGTGGGCGGAGTTCGTTACTCTGACGTAGCAACGAGCTGCTTGTTAAGGAACTATAACTTGGTGAAGGAACTGCGAACATTAAAACATTAAACGCCGCGTTCACGGCCCAGTTTATTAATTTATTACTTTATTTATTTAACTGTTGCCTGTGATGATCTATGGCGACCAAATCACAGCCGTGACGTTATATCATGATAACACACTCCCTCTCATGTTCCAGTCACAATACTTTCTGTCCTGACTTCAGTATGATGGGGCTGCACTTCTCAGTGCTACGTGGCACAAAAAATAAATATGGTTACTGAGATGTCAAACTCTAAGATCAATATGCATTCAAAAGTATGGAGAATGAAAATGCTTGTCTAGCCAGGCTATTTCTTGACATTAGTGCTGAGAGATTAATCATCTGTATATCGAAATCACATCTTAAAAGAGCACAATTTTCAAACCATACGAGCTGTAATTTTAATTACAGCCTATATTGTTAACTCTGCTGCCTTAAACAGGGAATATTAGCTTAATATTAGAGCTTCTAAACTGCCTATAGATGAGTTAGACTAATCAGAAGCAAACATGCTCCGACATCACAACCATGACTAACTGGCAGTCTGATATGTTCAATGTTAAAGTCTCAAACCTGGAAAAGTGGACGTTTTGATACTTTTGGCCAAAATAACAGGCCTGAATTTACAGAAAATTTAAATCTCAGTCGTAATACAGATCAGAAAAATCGCAATTACACAAGTCTCCTTACTGCAGAGACGGTACTGATCTCCTGCTGTCTGAACTGAGCTGAACCTCATCACTGTATCACCTCTCCTATTAACACACTGTGCAATACATCACAAATGCTGCTGTAATGACACTTTACACTGTGATACTGAAGCAACCCTGAGTTAGTTATGTCTATAATAAGTGCTTTTAGTTTACCTCACACCACTCAGTGCCTGCTGTCATGTAGATACCACAAATCTCTCTCATATGCCATGTAAATAAGCAAACAGATACACTTTTATTTCTCTTGTACTTTAACTTATGTCTAGATTTATTTCTATTTTCCTGGAATAGTATAGTAATCAATAAAGATCTATCTATCTATCTAATTAGATATTTTTCCCAAATCGTTCAGACATAACTTGTGTATTTTAACTCGTCTATTTACGATTTAGCTACTGTAGCTTAACACGAATCCTCAGCTGGTCGACAAACCAGCCAAAATAAACTCAGAATCTGTTTTGTTATCAGAGATACGGAGTCAAAACTGATGAAAGTCGCGGCGTCCAGCATCAAACAAGCCATTATATAAGCAGGTTAAAAAGCACTACTTATCACTGAGGCTGGTTGCTCTTGTTAGTGAGATAAAAGCCTCCTGGACAAACTGATAATAAGAGCTTTGTTGACCTAAACGTCTCCGAAAAACGACGAAAAGTGCAAAGCAGTGAAACAAGTGGAAAGCGCTACTGCTAACGAGTTCAGCCTGCTCGGTAGTCCTTAGCGAGCATAACTAACTAATCTACACTGTTATTGATCATTTTATCAAGATTAATCACTGAAGTTGGTTAGGAAAACAGGCTAACGTAACCATTTAGCCTTGAAAATAGGCAACTGAAACAAAAAAACACGACACAAACTATCGCAAACAGCTAGCTCAGCTAACGTTAGCTCTGTGGCTAACGCCCCCATGTATTTTCTATCAGACAGGCTAGCGCCGTGTTTCCCATTATAAGGCGACTCCAATGAGAGCAGCTAGGCGAGCTAAGCTAACGACAACACAACACCGGCTTCATTCCGAGCTCAAATGAACTCTGCGCGTCTCACACAAACAGAAGTTCCACACACGCCCTGACCTTCTTTACGGCTTCGTGCAGCGGCTGAAGGCGCTCAGAGAGAGGAATAAACGGCTGTAGTCTGCTGAAACTCGCCTGCTGCTCTTCGCCGTTTAAGCGACTGCGCACCTGCTAATGCTAAACACACCGGCTCGGTTCAGATCAGACGGACTGGGGTGCTTCAGCGTCTTCTCTCCCTCTGCTGCAGCGGAGGGCGACCTGCAGAGTCAGCGCGGTGTGCGCTGTTTGGTTTGTGCCTGAAGGGGAACTCCACCAATTTTTTAAAGTTTTGCATAATTAAACGGTTAACATGTACACAGTGTCATTCAGAGTGGTTTGGTGTGAAATGCTTCTATCTAGAGAAACTTGCAGAGTCAGAATTGTTCACAGTGGTGGTGATAGGAACCAGACGTCCACGAAGGGGAACTCCAACAATTTTTTAAAGTTTGGCATAATTAAACGGTTAACATGTACACAGTGTCATTCAGAGTGGTTTGGTGTGAAATGCTCCGATTCAGAGAAACGTACGGAGTCAGAATTGTTCGCAGTGGTGGTGGTAGGAACTAGACGTCCACGAAGGGGAACTCCACCAATTTATTTATTTTTTTTAAGTTTTTTTGTAAGGTCAAACTCCACTACATTGCAGATGAGGTGCAGATAAGTCTGTCTATTGATTGATAACGAGTAAAAAATGAACTTAACTAGTAGGAATTTAACGTTGTGTACGCTGTTTGGTTTTTGCCCGAAGGGGAACTCCACCATTTTTTTTAAAGTTTTGCATAATTAAACGTTTAACATGTAAACAGTGTCATTCAGAGTGGTTTGGTGTGAAATGCTTCTATCTAGAGAAACGTACGGAGTCAGAATTGTTCGCAGTGGTGGTGGTAGGAACCAGACGTCCACCTCTAAAAGCTCCCTCACAGGAAGTTATTATATGAAACGGTTATGAATTCACTGCCTGATGTCTGACACATTGTTTTATGATTGTTTTGTGATAAAGTTTTGACCTAAAATGTTTTTTAATGCATTTGTTTTAATCTATTCATGGCGGAGGGGTACATGCAGGGTGTTGTAAGGCAAAATAGTCCCTAAAGAAAACGTATTTTTGTCAGATTTATGACTATTTAATAATCATCAACCTTACATATTAAAAGGCAGAAGATACGTGTCGGGTCACTGGTGGATTTGGACAGTAAATAAAGTGGCTTGTGTTGTAGTCATGGCGACCCCTGGTTCCTATCACCACCACTGTAAAGAAATGTGAGTCTGTAAGTGTCTCTACAGTGAGCCATTTCTCATCAAACCACTCTGAATTGTTTGCATAATTCAATAATCATTTACATCTCAACTATAATTATGCATTTTTTAATAAAAAAAACAAAAAAATTGTGGAACTCCCTTTAAAGTAACTTAATATGAGAAATTAAATGACGCTCAAAACATTATTAATACTAGTAGAAAATGAAATTTGACATACAAAGTCTAATCTTTGATTTTATTTTACTTAACCTTTTTTATTAGTTGTTTAGATTTGACAGTTTTATTTGTTTAAGTTGCTCATTATTCCACTTGGCTCTAGATACAATTTACGGTTTTTTTATTACATTGTATTTTTTCACCTTTATTTCTTAATAGTTCTTATTCACTTAATACTTGTAATCAACCATTTAGTCTTTATATTCTTGTTTTAGGTGATTCAGTTTCATTTTGCACACATTTTAGCATTTTTTGTTTACATTTGCCATGTATTTTGTAACGTCAAACCCGGCTACATTGCAGGTGAGGGTCCCATTTTGTACCCTAGGTAAGTGTAAGTCTATTGATTGATAACGGGTAAAAATTGATCTTTACTAGTAGGAATTTAATAATATTTTAGGATTTAAGATTTTGGTTCTTTGTAGTAAAATCCATAACTCTTTCACAAAATGTTAAAGTCAGGAGCAATTTTTTACTATCATAAACAAAAGCTGCACTATGTATGTTGTGGGGAAGTGTCATTGCATGCAAAAATATCTGATTTGAAATGATCAGATTTGAAAACATCATATTAAGGCAAAAAAAAGAAAAAACATAATTCAGCCGCTTCAACCTGACAGCGTGAACATACGCTAGGATACAGTTATATATATATATATATATATATATATATATTTATTTTGCATAATTAAATGGTTCATAAGTAAACAAAGTCAGAGTGGTTTGGGGTGAAATGCTTCATTCTAAAGAAATTTGCCAAGTGAGAATTGTTCACAGTGGTGGTGATAGAAACCAGACGCCTGAACGGTTTGATGCCTCTGAAAGCTCCCTCACATGAAATGGTTACAAATATGCTTCCTGATGTCTGAGTTAGTTGGGTAACATGGGTAAAGCATTTATTAATTTGTGGCATTTTTAATTTTTTCAGATTTACCACAAAATTTCAATGTTACTTATAAAATCCCAGAAGACGTGTAGGTTCACTGGTGGTTTTGGATAGTATATAAAATGGCTATATTTGTGTTGTAGTCATGGCGACCCCTGGTTCCTGTCGCCACCACTGTAAAGACTGTAGAGTCTCTACGATCAACCATTTCACACCAAACCACTCTGAATGACACCTTCACATCTCAACTACTGAATTATGCGGAAAATTTGAAATATTGGTGGAATTCCCCTTCGAGAAGTGATCGTTCAGGGAGGATGCAGTGCTTCAGCACCATGGACAGATCACTTATTTAAAAGGAATTGAAAATTAAACTGGTTACGATGTCAAGCTTGTAACAGTAGAAGAACCTATTTTGGTGCTATAGAGAACCCTCTTCAAAAAGGTGCTATTTAGAACCATGTACAGCACATGCTCCACCAATCTGAAGAACCCTTTCTTGATGCAAAGAACCTTTTAATCATGCAAAGGTTTCTTTAAGTGTTAATGGTTCTATGTAGAGCCTTTTTTTTACTATAGAACCCCTGAAGAACCATCTTTTTTAAGTGTGCAGTTCAGTCTACAGTGTATGAGTTATTATTCACAGTGCTTTTATAATATGAATAGTATATAAAAATAAGGGAAAATTATTTTCCAGCTTCTTGTGTGAAGCCTTTCCAGAAGAGTTGAAGCAGTTACTGCAGAAAACTTCCCATTAAAGGGGAGTCCCACCAATTTTTCTAAATTTCTGAATAGTTGGTTGTGGAGACTCTGATGTCTTTACAGTGGTGGTGATGGGAACTAGGAGTCACCATGATTAAAAACCCAAATATAGCCGTTTTACTATTTATTTACTATCCAAAACCACCAGTGAACCCACACATGTCCACGGGTTTTGGGGCACCCTACATGCACCTCTCTACCACGGGTGGCTTTCAAGAAATATGTTATAGTCCAAAACTTTTAAAAAACTTATAAAACACTGTCATACCAGGCAACATGTTCACAGCCATTTCATGTAAGAAAAACTTTCTGCGATGCAGCTTTTAGAGGCATTAAAGGCTTAGCACGTCTGGTTCCCATCACAACTCGGTACACAACAGTATCTGCCTTGGTAAGCTCCTTTAGAACGGAGAGAACCACCTTTTGACTTTGTTTACATCTTAACCTTTCGCTTACACAGAAATTTTGGGACACTTATTTTTTCAGATTTATGACTATTTTATAATCATCCACATTACATATTAAACCTCAGAAGACTCCTGTAGTTTCACTGGTGGTTTTGGATAGTAAATAAAGTGGCTATATTTGTGTTGTAGTCATGGCGACCCCTGGTTCCTATCACCACCACTGTATAGAAATCTGTCTGTAAGTGTCTCTACAGTGAGCCATTTCTCATCAAACCACTCTGAATTGATACATAATTCAATAATCATTTACACCTCAAATATTGAATTGTCCATGTGACGATGCTCCGCCGAACCCTGTGAGGAGACACAAAGTCACCGGGTAGATTGCGACTGAATGGGTAGTGGAATGCAGTTGCAGCCTGAAGATGTGACGACTCTGGATGATTCTTTGCAATCAGTGAGATTTATTTACACGGTGAAACACACAAAAGAAAAGCTGTACAAACACAAAGTAAATGGTGGGTAAAATGCTGACCCGACTCAGTCAGTACAGGTAAGTATAAATAGTCTCAGGCCGCAAGGCCACTGGACTATACTCTTTTTAGCTCAGCTCTTATTCCCTTTTCCCTCAGTCTCCTCGCAATCTGAGGTGAGTATCCTTGAACTAGCCCCCTACTAAACCCTTCCCCTGCCTCTTATAGGGTTAGCCCCACCCCTGCATCACCTGAGCTGAACCATTCCACTCTGCAGGGGTGTTGTTGTCACATAAGAGTGGATTAAAAACAAGGGTGAATAAAATCATAATTGCATCTCACAAGGCCTTAATGTGTAAAATTACCAGTGGGACATTTCATACAGTGGGCACATTTACTAGCCTGTCTCACTCTGTCTTCTGTGCCCTAGGTAGAGAACTATGAGCTCATGAGCTAGCCGTGGGCCTTCCGGCACGCTCATGAGTGAGCTCCGTCCGCTCTGCCTCCCTTTGCTGCTGGTGTTAGGAAACAGACAACAGGTGAGTATTACAGGTAGGTGTTCAGGTAAGTATTACACACACACACACACACACACACAGAGTCCTCTGGTGATGGGCAACACGTTTGCCTCATCACAGTGCAAAACAAAAAATCATGGAACTCCCTTTTAAGTAACTTGATATGAGAAATTAAATGACGCTCAAAAACTTTATTAATACTAGTAGAAAATTTAAAAAATACAAAGTCTAGTCTTTTTTAGATTTTAGGTGGTTCTTAGTTTTTTCATATTTTACTTAAAATATTTTTAATTAGTTGTTTAGATTTGACAGTTTTGATTTTGATTGTCTGCGTGGGTTCCCTCCAGGTACTCCGGTTTCCTCCCACGATCCAAAAACATGCAGTCAGGCCAATTGGACATGCTAAATTGCCCCTAGGTATGAATGTGTATGTATGTCTGTCTGTCTGCCCTGCGATGGACTGGCGACCTGTCCAGGGTGTATCCTGCCTTCCGCCCAATGACAGCTGGGATAGGCTCCAGCACCCCACCACGACCCAGAAGGATAAGCGGTTTAGATGATGTATGTATGTATGTATGTATGTATATTACATCATACTTTTTTACCTTTGCTTCTTATTTGTTCTTATTCACTTTAGACGTGTAATCAATCATTTAGTCTTTGTATTCTTGTTTTAGCTGAACCACCATTTGACTTTGTTTACATCTTAACCGTTCAGTTACACAGAGATTTTGATTTATCCTTCAATGCCCTTTGGATGAGAATCTTTGGATGAGCAGGTGTTTACAGTTTTTAATTATTTTTAATTTAATGTTTAATTTCTTCTCTTTTAAATCTTCTTAATGAAGTCTTTTACATTTTCTATAATAATGTTTCTAATTTCTATTCTACGTTTTTGAATGTTCACTTGAATTATCTTTGTATGTTCTCATCTGTGAAGCACTTTGAATGAGTGCAGTGTATGAAATGTGCTGTGTAAATAAACTTGACCTGCCTTTAGAAATTAAAATGAAATTTGAAAGTAAAGTCTGATGTTGTGGGTGCTGTCTTCTTTGGGGAGGCAGCATCAGAGGGGGAGATGCAAATAAGCTCAACAAACCGATCAAGAAGGCTAGCTCTGTCGTGGGATGCTCACTGGACGGTTTTGAGGTGGTGGTTGAAAAGAGGTCACTTAATAAACTCACTGCTCTCCTGAACAACACATCACACCCCCTCCATGACCTACTGGTCAGGCAGCGGAGCACCTTCAGCAACAGACTCATTCAGCACCTCCTCACTGTGCCGGGACATTATTGCATACTGAGCCACTGACAGGACAGGCTCACTGGGCACCAACTGGACATTACAACACCTCTACACTCATATTCCATATTGCACTGCCTCTTTGTTTATTTGTCCACAAATATTGCACATTGCATTAATGTGTTTATGCATATGCAATAGTGTCATATTGTGCTACTGTTAACACTGGTTATCGTTACTGTACATAGTCACTTGTCCGTTCACTGGAGGGGACATGCACCACTGCATTGTCAACTGCATAGTATTTATGCAATTTACTTCTTATTTTTGTACTGTGCATTATTTATTGTTTTACTGTTATTTTTTATTTTTTTTATTCTAGTATTTATCTTTATTTTCTATTTATGCATCTGTAAATACTGTAAGACAGTATTTTGCTTCTGTTCATTTTGCACTTGTTTTGCTCTTTATTGTGCTTTGTACTGCTGCAATAGAAGACTTTCCCTCTGGGGTTAATAAAGTGATCTATCTATCTATCTATCTATCTATCTATCTATCTATCTATCTATCTATCTATCTCTCTGTCTGTCTGTCTGTCTGTCTATCTATCTGTCTATCTATCTTTCTGTCTGTCTGTCTGTCTATCTGTCTGTCTGTCTATCTATCTGTCTATCTGTCTATCTATCTATCTATCTATCTATCTGTCTGTCTGTCTGTCTGTCTATCTATCTTTCTGTCTGTCTGTCTGTCTATCTATCTATCTATCTATCTATCTATCTTTCTGTCTGTCTGTCTGTCTGTCTATCTATCTGTCTATCTATTTATCTATCTATCTATCTGTCTGTCTGTCTGTCTGTCTCTCTGTCAGTCTATCTATCTATCTATCTATCTATCTATCTATCTATCTATCTATATGTCTATCTATCTATCTATCTATCTGTCTGTCTGTCTGTCTGTTTGTCTATCTATCTGTCTGTCTGTCTGTCTATCTATCTATCTATCTATCTATCTATCTATCTATCTATATATATATTTATTAAATAAAAAACTATTTTTTTGTTTAAACCACTAAATAAAAAAAAGAACTAAAACTAAAATTCTAAACAAATAAAAATAAATCCTCGTTCTGCCTGTGGCATCTAATGCGACTGAACTACGGCCACTAGCGGCGAGAAAGCGGAAGTGCAGCGCTGTCCCCTGCTGACGAAGAGCAAAGCAGAGATCATCCTGTCCCTCTTCTCTTCTGGCAGGCTGCACGGGCAGAGAGAGAGAGAGAGAGGGAGAGAGGGAGAAGCAGAGAATGAAGCTCCATGCGAAACTAAAATAGCTTAAATCTGAACCAAATTACATTATCAGAGGGGGAGGGATTTTTAGGGGGAAGTGTCCAATCCAGGGAGTGAAATTCGCTTTCACGGTGCAGCAGAAGCAGCAGCAGCAAGGAGGGATCCAAACAAACATTATCCAGGATGGGGAACCGGGGCATGGAAGACTTGATCCCTCTGGTCAATCGCATGCAAGATGCCTTCGCAGCCATCGGCCAGAACGCCAACCTGGACCTTCCCCAGATCGCCGTGGTTGGTGGTCAGAGCGCAGGGAAGAGCTCAGTGCTGGAGAACTTCGTGGGAAAGTAAGTGGTCGAAGGACACTGTGTGGCGTGCATGACGCTGTGGGCAAATTAATAGTCCTAACAGCTCTACTGGAGATAATGTTGTGAATTAGCTCTATATACAGCGCCAGCATTAGTGATGGAGGATGGGGTTGTGATGGAGGATGGGTCAGTGGTTGCAAAGGACCACCGGCCACTGCCCCTTCAGCCCATGGCAGTGCAAAAACAGCATAGAGAGATTATTTTGTTACATAAAAAGGGCCCAGTGACTGATTACTGCACTGGAAACCTGCAGAGCCTGCAAGGGCAAGGCTGGCGTTATTATTATCCACTATAATAATGTCCTCAGTTTGCCAAGGTCACTGACCAAAATTAAAATAATTGCGATAATAACAAGCAGGGATGGACCGATATAGGAATTCTGGGCTGATACATGAATGTAGATGTCAGTTCTGGTACTGATGCATAAACATTTTCGCAGAATACTGAAACTGGGACTGGATTAGCATCACAAAGTGATGCAATATGAAGTTGGATAAGGTTACAAATGCAGTAATAATAATGAAATGGTACAGTAACTAAAAGACAAGGTTCAATTAAGCTGTTGGATAAAACTATGACGATTTTTTCAGTAAACAGAAATCTATAAGACCTATCTAAGCAAAAAAGTCCACAAAGGTACAAAAGCTCTGTTCCCTGTCGTGCAAAAAAAAATAATAAAATACTAACAGCTACATACATCAGACCTGCAAGCATGTACACAGGAAGGCTGAACAAGGTCACACAGTATCACCACTGATGGTATGATGGCTGATATTGGCGCCCCCTTGTGGTGAATCTGTAACCTGCGCAATGTGAGTTCCGCAAGGTGTATCAGGATTCCCTGAACAGCTTATTCTATTTGTGTTTTCAGTCAAGCTACAAACACAAGTAAATATGTATGTTTTGTATCTCAGTATATGCCTTAAAGTAAATCTGTGTTTAATTACTTAAAAAGCTCCTTATGGTGATGCAGGTTTGTTGTGACAGTAGCCATTACTGCTTTGTACACTGTAGCATACAATCTATGCTAAACTGTTTTCACAGCCTTTAGCAGTGTGTTTATCATATTGTGATGACAATAAACATTCAATTTATCTAGTATACACTAGCATGGCTGGTCACCATGTTGTTGTTTTGGATGCTGGTATGTTGGTCAGCAGCAATGGAGGTTACTATGCTGGTCATGTCATCACTGTCCAGAAAAAAACAAGTCAGTTTTTTGCAATTTTTAGTTTTCTGTGTCATGAACACAGCAGCTGTCCTTTACGTTGTGTAAAAATCTGACGATGAGTGGACCAATAGAAAAGCTCCAAAATGGCTTGTAATAAAATGCCCTTACATTAACTTACATTAAAAGTTAAGAAAGTTTTTGTCCTATACGGCAAGCTTACCATCTTAGAGATACTTGTTTTTCCTTGGACAGCAATGATATGTTGTGTTTTGTATGCTGGTATGCCGGTCAGCCAGCATGACCATCTAAACCAGCAGCAGACCAGCACCAGACCAACATAAAGCAGAATAGACCAGCATTTTTCATTCATGCTGGTCTATGTTGTTATTTTTTCAGCAGGGAAAAAATCCATGATTAAATATCATCTTAAATTATCAGTCAAATTTAAGTTGCTTTGCTTGATTTTCAGCTACAGCTGAAGTTAGTCAGCTTGATAGTCAGCTAGCTAAATTATCTCTGCAAAACGAAATGAATGACCCAACCAAAGACTGAGTTCAAGGAATACAGTTCATTTATCAGCTAATCTAGTCATCTTTTATTAGATTGCAAGGAAATAAAATACTTGTTGTCTACCTTACGGATTATCTAGCTAACGGATATGCAGCTTATTTAGCTGTTTTATCTGCAAAGCAGCAAGTTAGCTATCTGTGTAGCAAGATAAATTACCTTGCTAGCTAAAATAAAGCCAGCCGGCAACTACAATAATGTCAGTGGGTGGAATTTTATTTCAGAAATGCTGAAGGTAACTCTAGACCAGGGGTCTTTAATTAAAATTCAGTAAGGTCCAGTTAGAGAAAATTTCCTCAAGCGAAGGTCCAGAACATCATAACGTCTAACTTACATCATGATTCAGTGCCATATACTGTTTACTGAAGTAGTCTAGTAGTTATATCAACATCTTATACAGTCAACAACTGAATATCAAATCAAATATAGTCCAATAAAGTCATATTTTAAGAACATTTATCATCAGTTTTCTCTTTTTAGAGCACGACGTGAAATAATCTGACTCACTTTCTTCTCTGACTGCTGTTTCTCGCCTCGTCCCTCCCCTGTGTGTGCGTCACTCACTAAAGTCTCAGTGCTCATTGTAATGCACAGATCTGATTGGCTGAGTAGCGTCACATGTGATATTTACAACGCATGTGATTGGTCTGTGAGTCTCCCGGGCTGCTAAAGCTACCGTAAAGGGTGGAAAAGTTACACCAATTAAAACAGGACCACCCAATCAGAATTAAATAATTCTCCATAGTTTATCGGTTGTAGGTCCAGGTCCGCATAGCACAGCGTCTAGGTCTGGATTCGGACTGCAGTCCTCCTATTAGTGACCTCTGATCTAGGGAGTGAAGCAGAAGCACAAACAGGACAAAGAGAGGGAAACAACACTAATTAGATCCTATGAAATTAACGTGTTTAGATTCTTGCTTTTTGATATTTCAGCTTTAATATTTTTGCATTTGGTGCCTTATTTGATACCTGAAGTAAACATACTTGAAGGTGCAGTGGGTAAGATTTAGTGGATCTAGCGGTGACCCTGCATTCACACCGGCAGCGACGCAATGCAACAAGGCGGCCGGAGGTCATTCATTTTCAATGAAAGCTGGTGTTTTCCAGGAATAGGAGGCGGCGCGAACATCGGCAGCGTGAATTGGGCGGAGTCAGCGACGTGACAAAGTTGAGCGAAGTTCAACTTTATGCAAATAAGGAGCGAAGCGATGTGTAGACTACCAATAGGAATTAAGCACTGAGCAGCGTAGTACGCGCTTCATCTCCTCCACGGTGAAGCAGTATTTTTGGCTCCTGGGTAATTGTTCCTACTACAGGTGGAACAATGGTGGCGGTGCGTTTGTTGCAAATAGTAATCGCAACGACCAAATACTGTTTTCCTCATAAACTGCCTGCACAGACACAAACACTAAATAAAAATAAGCACACGAGCGATTCCCCACCAGGATTTTAATTTGTAGTGGGAACGCATCTGATTTGTGCTTCTCGTCAGTGAAACCATGGCAACCAATGGTCTGATGAAGTTCAGAAATGCCCATAGGCGATGAGCGACCAGCGATTTTGGCGACAAGAGGTGAAAGGCCACTGCCGGTGTGAATGTAGGGTAAGGTTGCAGATTGCAACCAACTAAATACCCGCCCCTCACCCCTCCCTTTCCAAGCGTGTAATAGAACCATCATGTTTTCACTTCCTTGATGACCCTTCCTCACTTTTTCTTGTGCTAAATAATACATACGAGCCTCCATTGACCAAAATTTGGGTTCTCAAAGTTCTCACAACACAAAATGGCCAGCCAGCACTGGCAGCGACCACTGATTCTTCTTTTTTCTGCGTCTTCCCGACCGGAGCTGCAGAGCTGCCAAATTCAACCCGACGCTTCAACGTAGAAATGTGAAAGGCGCCCTCTAGAGCCAGTGTTTGGTTTGTCCATTCTGGGCTACTGTAGAAACATGGCGGCACAATATGGCAGCCTCTGTTGGAAGAGGACCGGCTCTATGTGTAGATATGAAGGGCTCGTTTTACGCTAACAAAAACACAAAGATTCATAGTTGATTATACACGAGTGAAAACATGGTTTTGTTTACTATATCTTATTTCTGCTAATAGATCCCTCTAAATCTTACACACTGCACCTTTAAGTGCTTTAATGAGTTTGGAAATCCCTTCATTACGCTGAGCCCCCCCCCCCCAACATGGCAAAAGGGTGCTGGTGCTAAGTCAGTGTTTTTTCTTCGTCATTTTGGCTCCTCCAGCTTCCTGAACTCTGCCATTTACTCTATTGCTATAATTTCCATGCTGAAAGGCTGCGCTTTCATGAGCGAAGCATAAAAAAGCATCAATTGTTTGCAATTGCTGATGACTGCACGCTTTCTGGTGGAGGCAAAATGCCACTTGTTATTGTTCATTGGGTGGTGGGTTCGCATCACTGCACCACTGGGGCCGCCTCTAACATACAAAACAGAGATTATAAAGAGTGAAACACCTTTAATCACTTCTTTGTTCGTCACCAAATTATTTGTCACATTTAGAGCATCCTGGGTAGAAGTAGTGTGTTCATTTGCGCCGTAACGGGAGGTAATAAGTGAGCTGCACTTTGCTGAGCTGTCTGTCTGACAAATCCCGACAAATGCAATATGACTCTGCAGGCAGAGTGAGAGGGAGCTTTGAGCTGTCCTGGCTCTGCATGTTAAAGGGGCCATATTGTGAAAAAACATGGAAATAAAACTATTTAAATAAGGGGTCTCAAAGTCAAATTACCTGGGGTCCACTAGCCAGGTGGTCTTCTCCAAGGGGGGCCAGTTGAAGTGTTTCAAGTATGAGCTTAAACTAAATAACGTATCACTGTTGTCGGAAGAAAACCTTGTATCTCCAAAATGGTAACTTTACAGGAGAAGGAAAAAACGTACTTCACTTTTAATGTAAGTCAATGGAACCAGAATTTTTTCCAAGTCGTTTGTTTTGGTCCATTCATCGTGAAATTTACACACAATGTAAAGAGCAACAGGTATTTTCAAATTACGTCAAAAATGGAAAAACAATAAAAATGGAGGTACGAGGTTTTTTTCCGACAACAGTGATATGTTGTGTTTTGGATGCTGGTATGCTGGTCAACCAGCATGACCATGCTGGAAATCCAACTAAACCAGCACTAGGCCAGCATAAAACGGCATGGCATTCTAGCTAGTCCGTGCCAGTTTTATTGAGAACACCATCCCAACTTTCCGAGTAGCACTTCAAAAAG